GGGGGGGGGGGGTGGGTGGGTGTGAGGGGGAATTTGCATGGATGAATTTCAGGAACTCTTTTGCTATAAACAGAAACTACCCATCTGTCTTTCGAAACTGTGAGCCTTCTTCCCGAGTCGGCTTGGCCAAATGACCTTGACTCCAAGAGTCATGGTGGAGAAAAACAAGGCTAGTCTGACAGTGCAATAAAGAGGAGTGAGGTAGCAAGGAGCCTGGGTGTGGCCCTCCATAGACTGGCTGCATGCCACTCTCCTCTTGCTGGTTTCAGCCTTGTTTATAGCAGCGGAGACAGGAGGCAAAATGGTGTGTGGTTTGCGAACCTGAGAGACACAGATGTACAGGAAACAGGTCTGCCAAGTTCCTGCTGAGCAGGAGGGCTCAGTGACTGAGCTGCAGGGCTCCCCGGAGAACTAGCCCCACTTTCTGTCTAGTGCTGTGCCCTCCAGAGGGGACGAGTCAGGAGACTGTGTGTGCACATGCGCAGTATGCATGTAAGGCCCTCAGTCTCTATTGTTTCACTGCAAACTCCCTGGCCCCTCATAGGTGCTGTCCTGGTTTCCGACCTGAAGATTGTGGATGGCCCCTCAAGCCAGCTCTGCTGCTGCTGGGGAAATGAGTCCAGGGCAAAGCTGGAGTCCCCACACTGTCTTCAGGAAGGTCCTGGCTTTTCTTGGGCTCAGGGATGTGGGAGCTGTGTACGATAAGGGCCATCAAGTTCTGACCCCATGGGCAAGCAACCAAATCCCCACCTTAAAAATGACTCTTGGGCATAAGGCAGCAGTGGTTTCTGTGCTCTGGAACCTTCTGTGAGGCAGTGGGGTACAGCGGTTAAGAGAACAGATCTGAGCTGATTGCCTGGGTGTGAAGCCTGGCTCTGTCTACCCTTACTGCCGTGTGACCCTAAACACAGTGGCCAAGCCCTCCTTGCCTCAATCTCCTCATCTATAAAATGGGTATAATAACAGTGCCTACATCAGAGGGCTGTTAGGAGGCTTAAATGAGCTCAAGCACATGAGGCACTTAGAAAAGCGCCTGGCACGGAGTGAGGGTGCTTAATGTTCCGCAGGGTTCGTGGGGAGAGGCACAAACAGAGTGTGGCTGAGCAGGTGTGGCTCTGGGTGTCTCTCCCCGCACCGATGGGCGTAGCTTGGCTTTGTTTTGTTTCACACTGTACCTGGGGTGCTGCATACTATTTTGTTAGAAAGGTTTGCAGCTGCAATGCTGAGGCAGTGACAGGAGCAGACCCCGGAGAGAGGTGCCCACCTGCTCCTGGGAGGGAGGTGAGTTGGGGTGGGGCAGGAGGGCTGCAGTTACGCAGCTTGAGGTCCAGGGTGCCAAGCCAACCTACACTGACATCGGTCACCCTGTGGCCTGAAGCTGGCCCCACTTAGGGCATGCTCTGAAGTGGATGGATTACTTATTCACATGCTGATTCAGTATCTCATCGTCATGAAGGTGAGCGTGGCTGTGTGGGGCTGATTCAGTGCACATTTAGGTAACTGTCTGACCCTCAGTCACCAGGGCCCTGGAATCATTCTAAATAGCTCCACAGTTTGAAACGCCAAGGGATCTGACCCCCTCGGCCACCTCCATCAGGGCAGACCTCACTCAAAGGGGCAGCCGTAAGCACTCAGGTCTCCCTCGCCATCTCTTCCTGGGGCAGAGCTGCGGGGCAACAGCAGAAGATGGGCCAAGGCTGAGTCACCTGCTCCTCAGCACCCTCCTTTGTGATGGGGACCAGAGGCAGGCTTCTGTTCATTGTTTCCAGCCTGAGGGAAACAGCGGGGTGGAGATGGAGCCGATAAGAGGAGCTGATTCTGCCCCGCTCAGTTCTGGGTAAAAGTCCCTGCTTGCTCCCCACCCCAACTTTTCCCATCTTCCTCCTACTCTTCACCTCTAAGGTCTGACTCACTTTCCACCTGGTTAAGGGGAAGGGGCTGTGAGTTGCTGAGTGTGCAGTGGGGTAGTGTGGGGGTGACCTTGTAGGTCATCTCCTTTACCTCTGTCATCCCCTTGTTACTGGGCAGGAGAGTACATCTGGCCCAGCCAATGGAATATCTGGGTGCATGTTCTGACCATTCAGGAAGATTAGGGTTGATCTGATTTTAGTTGCACAGGGGAGAGGCCTGAGGGGAGTGAGGCGGGCAGAGAAGAAGACATCTGATGGGGCAGCTGGGAGTGCTGACTGGAATATTTGGGAGATACTTTCAATGGAGAGAACACTGAACTTGGACTCGGAAGACTTGGGCTCAAGTCCTGGTTCGATCACAAGTGGCTCCTCTGTGCCTCAGTTTCCTCATTTGTAAAATGAAGTTGGTGACATCTATAGCTCCAAGATCACATGTGAGAGTTATGTGGATACAGGGGTTAGTATAGTAAGGGTACCTCATCCTTTAGGATGGGCATCAGCATCACTGACCCCTTTCCGCATTTGGAAAAACTCAGGCTCAGAGCAAAATGACACATCCAAGATCCCAGGTGGGTCTGAGCCCAAGGCACCCCTACTGAGCCCAGATGTCACTCAACACCCAGACGAGTGGAGCCCTCCCACCCCAGGCCCCAGTTGCTGGCCATCTCTGGTCCACCCGAGGTTCTCGCTCAGTCAGCCCTGACAGCAGTGCTGAACAGAACACAGGGCTTCATGACATGCTGCCCCAAGTGCAAGCCCCCTGGCCCCAGAGTGCCCTTGGCCTCACCCTGACGGAGCTCCGCATGGGGCCCAGGTCGTGGTTGTAGGCCTCCACTATAAGAACGTGTGATGAGTTCCGCTCCCGGTCCAGGGGCCGGGGCCCTCGCATGAGGAGCCCATTGCTGACGTGGATCCGGAAGTTGTTGCCATGATTACCTGTGTGGAGGGACAGAGGATATGCATGGGCTCTGCCCTGGAGTAGGACGCTTGTGAGATCATGGTTATGGAGAAAAGATGGGGAGCCCAGACCCCCAGAAGGCAGACCTTTCCCAGAGGTCTCAGGCACTTGGCCGAAGCCTGAAGTATACAAGCCTCGCCTCACACTGCCCTAGCCTAGCAGGATTTGAGGGAGGGGATAGACTCATTCTGTGCCCCACTTATGGAAAGCCTGGAGGTCCCCTGAGACCTCCACACCCAGAGGGGTCAGCAGATTGACTATTTCAGAGGACACAGGGGCATGACAAAGAAAGGAACACAAATCAAACTCTGTGAGAGGTTAGTGAGGAAGCATCCCTCCTTCACCTTGCGGGCTCTCGTTTTCCTTTGGGATCCAGCCACCTCCACTCACAGGGGTGAGCTTACCCCTGATTCCAGAAGCGGGAGATCAGCACGTGGCAGTCTCAGGCCATAGTGACTGGTTCAGGCATGGTCCCGTGATTCTAGCTGGCCCAGTGAGACTCATCCTTGGGAGGTTGCTGGGGTGGGGGTGGGGGGCTATCCCAGCGTCCAAGGCCATAGTGACTGGTTCAGGCATGGGCCCATGATACACACTGGGCCAGTGACACTCAGTGTCTTGGGGGCTCGCTGCCAGGGGCTGCTCTGGTCTTCAAGGTCCCCTCTGTCAGGGTGATATCCCACTGTGGGACATGAAGAACTCAGCATAGCAGTTAAACGCATCCTTACTGAAAACACGACCAGCTTGATGCGAATGATTTGAGAACATCCCTGGTTCGTCCGTCTGACCCGTCTCCCAGACCCTTGGCAGCCTAGAGAAGCTCTGCTGCCCCGGGGTAGGAACCACCTCCCCCTGCCATCCTAGGGCAGCCCACTCACCGTGAAGGATGCGGTACCACACACGCCCAAACTCGCCCTCGTCTGCATCTGTGGCTTTTAGCTGAGGGAAAATGAGACACGTGGTTACTCCTCGAATTCCACCCATAGGCAGAGAAGGTGTTTGTGGAGTCCCTCCCCTTTCCTTACACCACCCCAAGCCCGTCCTGCCCAAACCCAGTTTCCCACGAAGCTGGGGGTGAGGAAGAGGAGAGGGACATGTTTTTCTCGTCCCCTATGAGGACACCTGTCTGTTGATGGCCCTGGGCTGCCCTGTCCATGGCAGGAGACCTGCCAACTCTTTTTCCTGACATTCCTCCAGGCTCCTGGTGAGCACGGGCGAGAAGGTGGGTGACAGCTCCACTGCTCTCTGGATCCAGGCTTGGCTAGCTCAGCCTGGCCCTCCATGGTTCCCTCCTTCAGCCTTTTGAGAGTCCAGGAGACTCACCTGGGGTAGGCGGGGTGCACAACTGCTCTTTGCCCACATTTCCTTGGTCTGAAGCTATTCTGGCTCCCAGACTGGCACTGTATATACTACAACTTCTGGAAAGTATACTGTGCACTGTAACAGCCACATTGTGGAAACCCGGAAAGCCCACTTGCCAAAGGAATGGCTCCATGTCCAATCACACACACGATCATTCCACTGTAGTCCCAGCCCACCCTGGCTTGCTAGGTTGCACCTCAGGCTTATGCCCTATTTCCGGTGGGACTTGGGGCTGCTTTTCTCACTCTGAGAATGCCCAGTGCTGAGCCTTTCTGACAATGCATCCGACCTTGAGGCTGCTGGCAGAGCCACAGATGGCCCTGAGGTCTGTCCCACCAAACCAAGAGCTGAATACCTCCTCTACCCACTGGAAAGAAGCAGAGAACACCCCTGCAAAGTGATGCAGAGAAAGGCCTGGGCCTGCGTGACTGGGCAGGCTCCCACGGGGCCACCTTACGTGCAACTTGCTGTGTAACGCCCGGGCCCTTCCCTCTTTTCCTGGATCTGCCCTCTTGTCCTCAGCAATCACGTCAACCCTATGCTGTGTGTCTAAGGGTTTAGAAAAGCATGTTGATGGTGCAGAGGAGGGAGTCTGTTGGTGTGAAAGAACAGCGGGTTTGGGTAAGGCAGACCCAAGCACAAGTCCTGGCTTCGTCATTTACTGGCTATGTGGCCATGGATACAATAACCCCACTGAGCCTCAGTAGGTACAGTGATAATCATCCTTGTGAGGTGGATGGGCAAACTAGATAAAATCGCTGCAAAGCGTCTGGTCCGGTGCCAAGGTAGATGCTGAAGGCTGGATGTTATGAGACATGCCACCTTTTCCTCTTGATTTACACTGGGGTTGGGATGGCTGCGTTGCCCCTTGCTGTGGAGTTCTTCCCTCCCCTGAGAAGACTTAAGAACTAGAAGGTGCAGGGATGTAGCAGGGCACTTCAACAGCCTGGCTCTGAAAGGGATCAGGACAGGAGGAGGGCTGAGCTGTCCAGTGGACACCCTTGGGTGTGGCTGTCCGTGGTGGGACTTCACGGATGCCTCCCTTTCCTGGCAGCCTGAACCACCTGGGGAGTTTCGCCTCTGGCCATTTAAGAACAACGGAGGCCACAGGTGAGGTATGCTGTCAGCGTGGGAAGAGAAAGTGAATGAGGTTCACCCAAGGGCGAGGTGGACCAGCAGGACCACTGGGCACTGGGGACGTCTTCAGGCTGATGCGGCTCGCACTGCCAGGGGCCGGTGCCCACGCCTGCCCAGCCTTTTCAGGAAAAGCACCCAGTCCCCCACCACTAGTTAGGAGGGTGACCCTGGCCAGGCTGCGCCTCTTCAGATCTCAGTTTCATTATCTGGAAGACAGGGCTGGATGAGACGACCCCTCAGTCACCTAACAGACTCTCATAATCCTACCCACTTGGGGCTATGCAGAGGATGCTTCTCCCGTTGTCAAGGGCTAAGGGCAGGAAGTGAAAGTGTTAGTCGCTGAGTCATGTTCGACTCTTTGTGACCCCATGGACTGTAGCCCACCAAGCTCCTCTGACTATGGGATTCCCAGGCAAGAATACTGGAGTGGGGAGCCCTTCCCTTCTCCAGGGGATCTTCCCAACCCAGGGACCGAACTCAGGTCTCCTTCATTGGCAGGCAGATTCTTTACCATCTGAGCTACTTGTCAAAAAAACAGGCTCCCCAAAAAGCAGGTGGACCCCAGGCTTAGGTCTTGGGCAGAGCCACAGCTCCCCCTATCTGGGAGCTTGGGGGTCCTTGATGGGAAAGTTGCTGAAGACTTAGGCTTCTAAGCAGGCTGGTTGCCAGGGGAGTGCTGGCTTCCAGGAAGAAAGGAGGCTGGGGGAGGGGTGTGTGTGTGTATAGCCACCGCCTGGGGATCTCCAAGGGCTCAACCAAACTACAAGGAGTGCAGCCCTAGCAGTCTCTCAGTCCTCTATGTTCTGCCCTGTGATTTCTCTGACTTTTGAAAATGCCTCTCCCCCCTCACTTCTACAGCCACATACCCTCAAAGGGAAGGTGCTCTTTCGGGAAGCTAAGGGGAGGGGGGCCTGGGGGCTGCCAGGGCCCATCTCTCTGCCCGGTCCCCTCCCGCCGCGTGGTGGCTTGTAGGCCCTCTCCCCGGTAACCTGGAGGCTGGCAGGCACTGAATACCGACCCGCTGGCTGCCCCCGACCATACCATTCAAACGTCCAGCAGGGGAAGGTGAGTGCCTCAGATACACAGTCAGAGAGACCCTCCCCTCTGCGTTCCCCCTAGGGCCTCCCGCCCCTCCAGAGGGCTCCAAGGAGACCGGCCAGTGAAGGCCGTGGGAAGGCTCAGGAGCGCCCAAGTCCTCCAGGAGGCTCCCTCTTCCCAGCCCAGTTGCCATCCCGACCTTCCTGGCTTTCCCCTCCCCCCAGGGAGGGCCCAGACTCTTCCAGACAAAGCCAGGTCTAACTGGAGAGTGAGGGGCGAGGGCCACTCTGCCTGGCTGGCTGAAGGACACAGGCAGATCCCAGGGCAGGTGGGGGTCACAGAGACGACCAGTGCTCCCAGGACCTCCCTCGAACAGCTGAGAAGACCTCTCACCCAGCAGGAGACTGCCAAGAGCTGGCTCTGAGGTCAGTGCTGGGGCTTGCAGGGAAGTGGGGCAGCACGCTGCCTGGGGTTCTGGGGGGAGGATGTGTGCATGTGCTCAGGCCTGGGGAATCCCTCTGCTTTCGTAGAGAGTGGAACCTAGGTCCAGGTGGGAGCAGTGGTTAGTCTGAGGCCACCCAGAAAGATGTGCTGAGGTCAGTCCCCTCTGATCACAGCAGGCCCTGCTCTTTGGAGCTCTGAATGAAGAAAGAAGGTTCTAGACTGAGCTTGCAGAGATATGTCCAAAGTGAGGCCTGCAGGCGTGCTTGTGGCTCCAGTGGGCAGGGAGAGGCTTCAGCTGCTCTTGAGATCATTCCTAGCCATGGTCTGTCAGAGGTCTCCTTTCCCCAGAACCGCTGGCCCCGGCTGGCTGCTCAGACAGGGCAGCCGGGGGGCCTGTAGTCAGTCTTGCCGCACCTCCCTGGAAGGATGGCCTGACATTTTCAACCACTTGGGAATCTCCTGCTCCCAAAGAAAATACTCCAAGGCCAATTTAGCCTCACATGTTTTTTCAAAGCATTGCCCCAAGGACTGAAGCCTGGACCTGCTTTGCTAGTCTGATAGGGTCTCCAGATCCATGTGGAGGTCTCGAAATAGCATTAGGACTAGTAGGGTTGTGACTCCTCTCACTTCAGACTGCCCTTTTCTTACTCCCAGCCAAGCGCTTTCCTGGGGAGGATGGAGGGATGGGCAGTTCTCTCCCCAGGGACATGGCAGTGGGCACACCCCATCCCTCTTCCCTTCCAGATTCAGGGAAGAGCCAACCCACGTATGGCCTGGCCAGCGTACTCTCTAGGCCTGATGCTAAGAGGCGGAGGCCCCGGGCAGCTAGATGGGCATCAAAATTTCCATCTGGGAGCTGGGAGGGGTCAAGCTCTGTCTGGAAATGCTGGGAAGGAGTGGTGGTGGGGACTGGGTCGGGCGTGGGGTGCACTGGATGCCCTTAGTCCCCGGGCACAGGGCAGGCTGCAGCAGAGGCGGCTGGGCACAGAGAGCCAGGAGTTAGGCCCTGCGGCCGCTGGTGAGTGCCTGGGGTGGTGATGGCGGCTGGGGAGGGTGTGGGCTGGGGGGCCCCCTCTCCATTCCCCACTTCCTGCTGACTTGGTGGGCTCTGCAGCCCACAGGCAGAGTCTGGTATAACCTAAAGCCCTTCCTCCCCAGTGCTGGTGCTAGAACTTGACTAAGTTAGACTAGGCTGTTACTTGGGAAAAGGAGAGGACTCTGTTATCCTTTGGGTCATGAAAGTCTCAAAGGTCAAAGAGAAATAAATGATTATTTCTTAATAAACCCCCTTCTGGATTTCCTGTGTTTGTAGAAATCAAAGATCACAAACGTTGGCCTGCAAGCTGTAGCCTCCTTATGTATTTTGTTTGGCCCATTTGTAGTATTTTAAATATTTGAAAATTCACTTGGAGTTTTTAAAAAATCAAGTTTGTTTGGCCTTTGCAGTGTCTTTTTCCCCCCCCTGTCTCTCCAGAGGGGATTCAACCAGATTTGAATTAGTTGGCAACACTTCAACATCAGGAAAGTTTGCCTAAAAAAGTCTAGATTTCTGGCTTCTCTTGGGAATCTGAAAGAAGGACCACAGGGGCCTGACTTCTGGGATTCCGTCAGCTTGGCTAAGGCCCCTCCGTCCCCACTCTTCATGTAGACTTGCCCACTTGTCCTGCTGGTAACATGCTATCTACTAGCTGGTCTCTAACCATGTTAATTTGCAACCAAGAGCTCAGTTTGATTTTCCAGCTATNAGCCTTGGTGGCAGATAACTGCTAGGGTCCTTGCCCTCTGCAACTATAATTGATGACTTGTTCCTGGTCACAGAGCAAGTTAGGGACAGGATTGGTCTTAGACCCTAAGACTCTGTTGTAATTCCTGAGAATTGCCTTTAAAACGCCGGAAAGCATTACCCCTCCTGCCTCCTCCGTGAGGTAGGCAGGGACTGTAGCAGAGGGAGGATCTGAGTTCAGCCCAGCTCCATCACTCTCCCACTGCGTGACTTTAGCCTTGATACCTCTCCCAGGCTCACTGTTCTAACCTGGAACGTGACTGCAATGTTATCTGCACCTAGTTGGGCAGTGCCCAGCACCCATCAAAGTCCCCCTGCCTCTCCAGTCCTGAGTCCGGCTCATCTGCTCCTGTCCCATTCCTGTTGCAGGAGCCATGGACACAGAGAGCCCCAGCCCCCTCGCCTTCCTCACAGCTCCAGCCACGCCGGGGAGGCTCTCAGAGGCCGTTGACCCCATCCCCGTGCTCATTGCCCTGGCCTGCATCTTCCTTCTGCTGGCCACCTGTCTGCTCTTCATGACCCTCTGCAAGCCCCGCGCACTGGACCCGAGCCGCCGCCGGGCCCGCGAGTGCATGCCCCACCACCCGGGGAGCCCCAGCGAGCCCCAGCTCCGCCTCTGGAAGCGCCTGGGCTCGCTGCGCCGCTCTCTGCCCAGCTTCCGCCGCGGCCGGCCTGCCCCCCGGCGCCCCCTGCCGGGCAGAGAGGACAACCACGACTGCGACTGCACGGAATCTACCAAGATGTGACAGGGGTGTCCTCCTATTCCATCCACAGACCCTCTTGCCTCGGGCGGAACCAGGCACCTCCGGCTGCAAGAGAACAGTGGCCCAAACAACCTGGGCCACATGCCCACACTTTCAGCGGTATCCTGTGCACTCAGGCCCGTGGCCTTTTCCAGGGATCGTCCCCGGAAGAATGCCTTCCTTCCTGCTGCCACTTCAGCTGCTGCCGGTTGGAAGGCTCCTAGACCAGGGACTGAGCACCTGCAACCATCTGGACCCTTGGCCCAAAGCTTTCAATGGTACAAACCTGGGGCCCCCAAAAGGCCCTTCTCTGACCACAAGGCACCAGCCGTCTCCAGGAAGCAGCCCCCCTTCTTCCCAAGAGAAGCCCTGCCCACCCTCCGGGTGCCAAAGCCCAGCTCAGACTCCAGTGAGAGTTGCTGAATGGGCTAAGGTTCCCTGCAGCCAAGTGAAATACTCAGCCATGCTGGGGGCAAGGGAGTGTCCTGTCCTCTGTGCCAACTCAGTGCCCGAGGCAAAGGGGAACCCAGGGAATCCCCTCCCCCGACTTCCTAGGCCCTGCCTGCATTTGCTTGTAATCCATGGGAGCAGCCAGCACCCCTGTGGTGGATCAGATGCTGGGTGCTTGCTAGGAGGAGGGGCATTCTGGGGGCTCTCAACACACCTAGCCAATCACAATCTTGGCTGTCACCTTGGCACATCCTCCCTCCCTCAATGCACCTGAGCCAGGATGGATGAGGAAGGGGCTGGGAATGACTTAAGAAGCTCCTTGCAGAGGCCAGGACCGGCGCTGTGTCAGAGTGGGAGGAGGCGCTGTCAGCAGCTGGAGGTGACATTATCCGGGCTCTGAGAGCATCGTAGAGGCTCCATGCCTCACCCAGGGTGGGAGGCAGGCTTCCTCCAGCTGGGAGGGTCCAGGCCTCTCCAGGACAGCTGTGGAACCTCAGGCCTCGACCACACGAGGTGTGCTATCATATTTTTCGTGAATGCTTCATTGACTGGCTACTGTCAAAGCAATTTCACCCCAGGCTGGGTTTCTCAGAATCCCAAACCTTCAACCTCTCCTCGTAAGGCTGGGGCTAACCACTTTGGTTGGTCCCAAATTTGGGGGGCTGGGCAGAGGGGTCTGAACTGCCCAGCTCCTGCCCCAGAGAGTCACCTGGCTAGAATCACCTGTACCCCATTAGGGACTGCTCCACACAACCCTGCTACAATCCACACAGCAGCCAGGCACGTCTTCTCACAGGGTGAGCTCCGATTCTGCCACCCCCCCAGCTCCAGAAGCTACTGCTGGGTCAAGCCAGATTTTCTTTGTCTGTTGCTTGGTGCCCACTGGAAGCTGACTGCAAATGATGTTTCTAGCCTCATCCTGACCCAAGACTCCAGGCAAACTGAAATATCTGTCCACCCCGGGCTACAGCTCACTCGGCGTGCACGCCCTCCATGAAGCCCTCTGTTTCCATCTGCAGCCTCCTCCTGCCTGAAATCAAGGGAGGACAGGGACCGCTTCCTTTGGGCAGTGTGGGTCACCCCTGTCATGCCTGCTCCTTTCTACAAGCCTGGGAGGCTCCCAGAGAGCGAGACCAAATCCAACCCCTCATCTGCTTCACCGGCGACAGGCTCAGAGGTATGCGGCCTGTGTTTACTGAGTGAAGGGTGGCCCTGTCTAGTCCTGGGTGCACCCCCTTCTTCCCTTGGATGCCCCTGCAGAGAAACTGTCTCTCCCAGCAGGCCCATAGTGCATTCCTTTCAGGTCAGTCTGACATCTGAGAACAAGTCCACTTTGGTCAGAAACTTACTTCCAGGGCCTTGAGAAATCACCAGAGCCTGATTTTCTCCCTGAGAAATGGGGAGACTCGGGGACTGCCTTATATTACTCACAGCCTCTAGGATCTCACTCTGAGTAGTCTATATAAATAGAAACCAAGTCTTGGGGTTTAGAAAGCGGGGCAGGCCTCCTCCCACAGTGCAGTAACCTCTTCCTGGTTTTTCCCCTGTCACATCTCCCTGAGAGACCCCAGGCTGAATTCTGCCTGGAGTTGGTCACCATATCACCCCCGGGCCAGCATACTCTGCCTGGCATGTGATGTCACAGGAGTGGGCAGTAAAGCTATTCTTGACCTGAAGGACAAAAAGGGGGGGTGGGGAGGAGAGGGCTTTCAAAGGTCTGCTGTACCCCCAGCTGTGTTCCCAGGTTGATCCTTGGAGACCTTTGTGAGCTGGGGGTCGCAGGTGCTAAGTTTTAGGCTAGGGGAGAGTGGGGCCCCATGGCTTGGTGTGGTGGGTTTCTTTAATGCTCCAGGAGCTGAGGCTCAGAGGGAGAAAACCATTTTCTGGAACCACCCCCAGACCCTGCCAACCCATGGCTTCCTGGACTCTTGGCGCCCCTTGGAGTCAGCACCCTGCTCTCGGCTCCCCTCCTGCCCCATGCCTGGCCCTGATGCAGGGAGGTGGGCACACTGCCAACCTCCCACTCTTCTGCCCCTCCCAAGCCTGGGAGCCTGTCCCAGCGGGCAGGCCCAGATTTGCTCTGTTTGGCTCAGCCTGCAACTTGGAAACCCCACAGCTGGTGAGGAGGGTAATTCATGCCCAGCCTGCCTCCCCACCCAGCAACTGAGGCCTCCAGGGAGGGTTCGGGAGGGCACCCAGCCTCCTTTTCCAGGTCTCTGCCTTCCTCCCCCAAGGCCCAAAGCTGTGGCTCCTGCTCGCCGGGCAAAGGAGCCCTTTCTTTTTGTGCCTGTTTATTTCCCAAGAGGGGAGCTTCAGCCAAGAGCCCTGTGAAAGCAGCTCTGTTCTGGGCTGTGCTGGGCCCTGGCTCTCAACTCCTTTCTGGGAAATGTGACGTCTCCAGCTCCCTCCTGCTCTGAAAGGGCCTCCTGGGCGCAGTGGCGGATGGGGAGAGGACTGTGGGGGATGGAGGGAGAGGGGAGAGGAGGGCCAAGGTGTTCCTTCTGTTTTGGGCCCATCCATCCTGGGTTACATAACCTGGGGGCTTACTCTCCCCAGGAGGGAGGAGGAGCCTGGGTCCCTCTTTGGTTACAGCACTGGCTACTCGGGAACAGCAGCTGGACTGGCCCCTGTTTCTATCCTGCCACAAGGCCACTAAGCGCATGCTCTGAACTGAATGTGGCCCTGCCTGCCCCGCGCTGCCCCCTCCACCCACCGTCACCTGCCTGCACGATGCTGTGGCCCTCACGGATGTCCTCAGGGACGCTGGCCTCGTAGCTGCTTTGCAGAAAGATGGGCCGGTTGTCATTCACATCCAGGACGGTGACAAACACGGTAGCCGTGCCCGTGCGCCGCTTGCCCACGGGGCCATTGTCTGTTGGGGGGCCGAGGAAATGGTGTTAGCAGCTGCCTGAGGGGCACGCTTCCGGGTGCCAACCAGACTCTGTTTCCCCACCTCTGCAAGGGGGTGGCTCTTTTTCTCTAGGTTAGGAACAACACTAACAGTATCTAACACGTCCCAAGATCTCATTCAGTCCTCACAACAAGGCTGCCAAGCGGGTGCATTATCAGAGGAGGTGACTGAGGCATGAAGTAGGTTGAATGGTGGCCCCCAAAAGATACACCCATGGCAAGTCCCTGGGAACCTGGACATGTAACCTTACAGGGAGAAAGGGTCTTTGAAGATGTAATTAAAGATCCCGAGAGGAGGTATCCTGGATTATCTGGGTGGGCCGTAAATCCCATGACCAGGGTCCTTACAAGAGAAAGGCATGAGGGTTGCGGGGGTGGGGCGTGGATTTGACACAGAGAGGAGAAGGTCATGTGAAGTTGGAGGTGGAGACCAGAGTCCTGCAGCCACCAGCCAAGGGACACTTGGAGCCACTAGAAACCGGATGAGGTGGGGAAGGACCCTCCCCTAGAACCTTCGGAGGGAATACAGTCCTGCTGACACCTTAATTTTTAACTTCTGGCCCCCGGAGCCTTGAGAAAATAAATTTGTTCCTTAAGCCACCAGCTGTGTGATCATGTGTTTCAACTGCCCTAGGAATCAGCTACAGGGACTGAGATGACAAACCCCACTGCTGTTGGGGCCAGGAGGGTGAGGTCCATGGTGCACACCCAGGCGTGTCTGCCTCTGGGGCAGTCATCCTCTGCTCCTGTCCACACTGGACAGGCAGAATGGGGCCCAGGGACCCTAGATCTTCTGATTCCTCAAGAGAAATCAAACATCTGAGCTTTTAACTAAAATCTCCTGATTTTTAAATGTCCACAGCTATTATTTCTTATGAAACATGAGATGGGTCAAACACGCCTGCAGGACGGACTAGGCCTCTGCATTCAGGGATGTGGACTCTGCCTGATTTCTAAGCCTTAAGTATTCAGGGATTCTGCCCTCTCAGTTCCTGGAAGGACCCTCCCAGGGCTGGGTCATCCTTCTTCTGCCCCGTGCTGCGTGTCCAGGCAAGGGCGGTCACCCCAGGGAGGAGTACGGGCAGCTGGTGTTGGCTGATGACCAGGGGTGACTCTGTCCTTCTGCCCAAGCCAGCTGCCCACCTGCTGGGGTCAGTGAGTTATCCTGAGGTAGGTCACTTTGTCCTCCTGAGCTCCTCTCCAGGACCAACATCTCACTGTCCGGGGGTACTGCTTACATGCCCCGTCTGGGGACAGTGTGAGCTGGCTCCAGAGAAGGACCCAGCCTCTCCTCCTAGCCAGTGCTTCATGCAAAGGCTGAACCCAGAGCAAGTGATGAGCCTCCAGAGGGTGGTGTGGCCACTCCAGGATGGGAGGAGAACAGGGCAGGGGGGAGATGCTGGGGAGCGACTGCAGGCTGGCTAGAGTGAGGCACAGAGAGCTCACTGCCTCTCACCCTGAGATCACTGCAGACACTGAAAAAGAGATCCTGTGAGGACCAGGGGCATCTGGGGGACACAGGCCTGTTCACACCCTTCTTGCCATCCGGTGTCCTCAAGGGCTCCCTGCTGCCTGGAAACTGAAGACCAAACTTCTAGCTCAACATTTAGGCTTCCACAAGGGGCCCTACCTGATCACAGCCCCCCACTAAGGGACACCCAGACACAGAACTTTCTCCCATCTTCCAATCCAGGCCTGAAATGCCCTCCCTGCTTCTCCACATATGGAAACCCAATGTGGTCCCCAAGGTGGTGGGCAGCATGTCTTGTTTCTATCAGCACCATCCTGTTCTCTTAGGCAAGTCTGTGCCCCGAAGGTCCCTCTGAGAAACTTCCCTTCCCGACTCTGAGGCCTGGGGTTCCAGGTGGGTCTGACAGCTCCCCCAGAGACAGGGACAGACCCAACTAAGAAGCACATTACACCCCCTCTTGGCCGTAATGAGGGGTTCAGAGACAGGTGCTGGGACAGATGGAACTAATCAGAGCTCATCTGAGGGTTTCTGCTGGGGAAGCTGGGAAAGATAAAAGTGCCAGTTCCCTGCTGCTCAGGGGACTCAGACGAAGGCTGGGACTGCAGCAAGAATCTGTCATCACGTGAGCCAGGGGACGGAGCTCACACACAGGGGCAGAGGCAGCCAACGCAGAGAGACTGAGGCCTGTGGCATCATCTGAGCTCCAAAGCCAGTCAATAGTTAAAGTTCCATCCCCTTGTGGACCAGTGTAGTTTTGTGAGCCTATCCTGCTGAAGCTAGTTTATTTAAAAAATTGCCATTAATAGTCCTAATTAATCCAAAGGCAACTTCCTTCAAGCAGCCCGTCTTGATCACCCCCCTCTGCAAGTTTCCACCACCCTTGGTGCTTGTACTCTTGGGCCATCCTTTCACCCTTTTCTGCTCTGTTCTAGTTTTGCAGTGATCTGTCTACATGCTGGTCTCCCGTCTGGCCCCCAGGTAGCCCCCAACACACCACCTTAGCATCTTGCACATAGTACCATGTGCCGAGCCTCATGGCTGGCAAGGGCATGCCACTATACTGAGGGTCTGGTTGTCCTTTCTCCACTGGCACCAGGGCACAGCCTTTGCCTCAAGGCCAGCTCCTGGAAGGGCACCCACGTAAACTCCGTGGGTGGGCTGGTGCTCACCGATGGCCTCCAGAACGAGCGTGTACGTGGCTGTGGTCTCTCGGTCCAGGTTCACCACCGTTCTCACTGTGGCATCGCGGTAGCCAACACTGAACTTCCCATCCACGTTTCCACCTGTGGGCGACAGAGAATGAAGCACTGGTCAGCAACCAGGGAAAGGGTGGTGGCACCCAGCTTGGCTTCCGAGCCAGGACACTTCAGGGCTGGTCCAGGGGTGAAAAACTGTGTTGTCCACTCAGCACTACCAGGGAGGGGAGGTCCCAGGGGCTCTGATGAGGGCGTGGGCTTGCCTATGTGGGCTTAGGTGAAGGGTTGAATGCCTAAAATCCTGAGTCTAACATTGATTGGACAACTACTGTGTACCAGGCACTACATCTCACTTGTGCTGTCACTACTTCACAGAGCAGGAAAATGGCCCTTTAGTGAGGTTATGGGGCACTGTCACCTATTCGGGGTGTAGGACTCCAACTGGAAAGTCTAGTTCCTGAACCCATGTCCTTCTCCACTCTGCCATCTGCCTGTCTGATAGAAGGGTCAGGGCTTTTATATGTGGTTGAGGACTCTGGGGTCAGTCGAGTGGTCTTGGCTCTCTGAGTGGGGACTCCCGGAGGCTACACAGAGTAAAGAGTGGAGGCAAGTGGACAGGATACAGGTGTTACCGAGTCTTCCTCAGTTCTGGGCCAGGTGGGAAGGGGGATGGTCTCCACTCCGAGGAGAGGAGAGGAAAGGACAAGAGTGAAAAGGACTCCATCAGAACAGTGAGGAGACCCTTCCCTGCCAGCTGGGAGGCAGTGTGGCCCTCTGGGCAGCAGAGGGCGTCACTGAACTGGGTTTCGCTAGCTTAGGGCAGCGCCTGGAGGAATGTGCAAAGTTAAGGTCTGAGAAACCTAGGGCTGGGGGCGCTCTCAGGTCAGCAGGGACTGGCCACTTTGAGGCGTTGGGAAGTCATCCCAGAGGCTGCCACCAGGTTCTCCCTTGTCCTCACATGGTTTGCCCCTGGAGAAGGCACTCTGTCCTCCGAGTCTCTAATAACTGCTTCCCAGTGTCTGAAGCACCATCTACAAGGGGCACAATCCGGCCTCAAGGGGCAGGGGAGGAACTAAGACATAAGTAACGCCAGAAGCTGAACCATGGCTGGTGCCGGGGGCATCTTGATAACAGCCTTTTCCAGAGCAGTCTTGAGAACAACTTGCAAGGAGCTGGTCTGAGGGTGCGGGGCCTCTTTCAGGGAGGGGAAGGAGGGAAAGGATATGGAAAGGAGAGGTGGAGGCCTGGAAGGTCACCTGGGCTGCAGCAAGCTGAGGGTGGGTTGTAGCCTGGGATTCCTTACTCAGGGGAGAGGCGTCAGGGAGGCTGGTGTGTGCACAGGTAGGTGTGCATATGAGCGGGTGTGTGATGTGGCTGCAGGCAGGCCAGGGACAGAGTGAAGACTGAGCCAGTAAAATGGCTGAGGGGAGGGCTGAGGAATGTGAAAGAACTACCCTGCTCTCTTCCATGCATCCTAGCACCTCTCAGGTGTGCCATGGACTGAAGAATGCTGGCAGACTGTTCTAATCCAGGAATGGCTAATACATAGCATGTATGCCACCACCTACCGAGACTACTGCCATTGCAGACATCACTAATCGATCACAGTTCACTTTCTCCTGTGGAGCCAGGACATGGCCTCATAACATTTCTCCACAACTCTCTAAGTGGTAGCCGCTTGACACTTTTAAGCTAAAATCATTTCACTCAGAGATATCTAAACTATTTGTCTCTAAACAGATGAAAACTCTCATCATGAGTGAAAGGTGCCCTGGGAAGGACTAGGTCACATTCCTCTAGCCACTGCTTTGTTACCCTGATGTGGGGTAGAGTTGGGGGCAGGGCTTCTCCCCAGGAGTCACTGGCTCCACCACCCTCTAGAATAAACCTCAGGAAGACCCCCTCCAACTCGCATCATCCAATAGGTACAGAAGCTCCCCCACCAAGAGAGCCAGACCAGAGGGACCCAGGTGCAAAGCTCTTGGGAAAAGTCAAGAGCAAATCTTTGAGGCCCCAGAAGGGGCAAAAGGCTGATGGCCAGTGCAGGTCCTATCCCTTCTTCCCCTCTCCCCAAGCTCACTCCAGGCTGGCTGCTCATCTGAGGGTCAGGGAGGCAGGGCCACACCTGTGATGAAGTAACTCAGCTCAGCGTTGAGGCCCACGTCGTGGTCCGTACAGTTCAGCCAGACCACCCGGAACTCCCGTGGCACGTCCTCCGACACGGAGACATTGTACACAGCAGGGAAGAAGGTGGGTGTCTCGTCATTCACATCCAGCACTGGGGGAAGAGTCGGCACTCAGGGCTAGGCCTGGCTTCCACCCTAAACTGCCAGCTCCGAAGGCAGTAGTTCATGCCACAGACCAACAGGAAACACATTTCTTAGGAGTCAACACCTGCTGGTCATGGGCTGAGGGCCCCCATGGCTGCTGGGGCCAGGACAGGACTGAACAGAGATTCTGCCCCCTCCTGTAGCTCATGCCATCGAAACCCCAGGGTCTGTCTCTAATATATGCCTAACAACGACAGTGATGACTGTGATGATGGTCATCACAATCCTCCGCTCTCCCCAGGTGCCAAGCTCAGGCTAAGTGCTCCCTGAACAGGACCACATGGGCCCCTCATATCATCCTCACTAGGCACCCATCATTCGGCATGCTATATAGATGAGGAAGCTCAGAGGAACTGGATGACTTGTCCAAAGTCACACAGCGAGAGCATGGTAGGAGGGGGTCTTGGGGAGGCCTGTTCCCAGTTTATCCCAGGGAAAGTAGCTGGCTTTGAGAACTAGCCCCCAAAGTCTAATTTCCCTTACAGATTTGTTTTTCAGCTCTGCACGTCAGGCCCCCATTCCTTTGACAGATGGGGCCTAGGGTAACCTTCATAGTGAAATGAGCCCCACCCTGCTTTGGCTCCTCTTTGCGATAACCCTAGGAGAAATGATCAGCTCATGGGATGACATAGTTTCTGCTGAGTCTTGGAAAAAGAAAATCTGGGGTCCTCTTTGAGAGGGCTGGACATCTGCCCTGTCAATCATGGGTACAGACATGGGTCATCAAACTGGCACGAGGAACCCCCAAGCCTTGGATCAATAAGACAGTGGATGTTCAGCTCTCTCTAGCCTCCATCATCTTGGATCATGATTAAGGAAGGTGAATGTTTGTGCCAGGCCAACTACTATCCACTCCCCATCCCACGGAGGCCAGTAGGAGCCAGGACGGCACCAGGCCTGTCTGAGAGAACAGCCCATCTCCTGCCCATTACACTCTGAACTAATTTCCCTAGGGTTACTTCTGGGCCCCTGGCAACAGTTCATGTCCATGTCCATGTTTTGTCCAAGAAATTAAAGGTACAGGCCGAGTAGGTGAGAAATGGTAACCCTCCTTGGGCTGACCCTGCCTTGCTGGAGGGTGGAGACAGTGGGACTTATTGAGAGGGCCCCAGGAGGTGAGAAATCTTAGGGAATCTGGGAATCCCAGCTGCCCTCTTCCCGGGTGAGGCCCTTCCATGGCAATTTCAGGCGTTCCCCGAATACAGGAATGGAAGCTTCCCTTTACATCTCCAAACAGGAAGTCTGTCCTTACAAAGACAGAGAAAGAGCTCTGAACCTCCCTGCCTGCTCGTAACCCCGAGGGTGCCACTCCCTGCTCAAACCCTCTCTGATGCTGCTGGGATCAAATTGGGGGACCTGAGCAGTGAGTCCAGGTCACTGCTCCTGGGCTCTGGGACCCTGAAGTCAGACACCAGGTAGAGAGAAGGCCCTGCTGGCATTTTTGAACTGGTGAAGACACGAAGGGCTATGTTGAATGGCTCCAGTTGAAGAGGATGCCCATTGGCAAGGCAGTCAGTGCTGCCTGGACAGCTACAGCAGTGATGAGCATGGGCTCCCAGCCAGCCTGGCATTGCCCCAGGGCCCACGCCATGGGCTCAGCACAGCAGGGGGCACCCCGCGCCCTCACCTCGAATGGTGAGTGTGCTGGTGGAGCTCTTGGTGGGCGTGCCTGCATCACTGGCCACCACACGCAGCTGGTACTCGGCGATGCGCTCACGGTCCAGCTCAGTGGTGGTGACCACCACGCCGCTGCTGCTGTTGATGACGAAGTCCATGCGGGGCATGCCCACCTGCATGCGGTAGGACACCAGTCCATTCAGGCCCTCGTCCAGGTCGATGGCCACCACCTGAGGGAGAGGATGGGGCTGGAGTGAGGTGTGGGGATGCTAGTACTGATGCGCACCACTTGAGAAGTGCCCCCTCCTTCCCAACGACACGGCTGCTACCCCGGAGCCTCAGGCCAGGCCACTACCCACAATGTGGCCTCCCAGATGCTCTTAAGGGGGTCAGCATGTTCGAGCTGAAAGGTATACAGATGCAACAAGTGGGGCTGGGAGTGGGAGAGGTGGGAAAGGGGCTTTCCAGAACAAGGGTCCAGGTGTACAGCCTTCTCCCTTCTAAACCCTGCTCTCCTCATTAGGAAGCTCTTCCAGACTCACTTCAGCTGGTTCAGGACCCTCCAAACGCAGGGGTCTCCCTCACCCCTGACTCTCTCATTGCTGGCTAGGAGCAACTGTTAACAGCTCAGACCCCTTCAACTATGTGGAACTCAAATACACAAAATGCTTGATAAAAAGGATTCCCTCCCATGCACTATTCTATTTGTAAGACAACAAAAATAAGATGATACAGCTGGTTTTTAGAAGTCATTTGAGGACACATGTAGGCCAACCTTCTTTCAGTCCTTAGGCTGTTTCCAGCTGTTACTGTTTGCACCTCCAGTGCTGATGAGAGAGATCCTGACTCAAGACTCTGATATGTTGAAAGTTTTACAGAAGAATATTCAAGACATTTGAGGAAAAATGTGCAAAAGCAGTTAAAATAAGAGCTTTGGATCTAACCAAGACTCCCAGGATTGAGGGGATTTCCCAGGTGGTGCTAGTGGGAAAGAACTTATCTGCCAAAACAGGAGACTTAAGAAACGTGGGTTCAGTCTCTGGATCAGGAAGATCCCCTGGAGAAGGAAATGGCAACCCACTCCAGTATTCCTGCCTGAGAAATCCCATGGATAGAGTAGCCTGTGGGCTACAGTCTATAGGGTTGCACAGAGTTGGACACAACTGAAGTGACTTAGCACAGCATGGCATGGCTCAAGATTGAAAGTCAATGTTAAGTGTCATCTGGTCTAATTTACATCCAACGAGCCGGACAAGAAGAGAGTATCCAGACTCAGATTGAATGGTTTCCTCAGTGGGGGACTCACTACTTCTAATTTATCTGCACACAGCTCTAATCCCTGGGAAAAGTTCTTTTGCACATTCTGCAGGAATCATTATTAGCTGAGGTTGTAGAGGGGAGCTGGGGAACTGCACAGCTCAAGTGAGAGCCCTCTTTCTGGAGAAGGAAATGGCAACCCACTCCAGTAGTCTTGCCTGGAAAATCCCATGGACAGAGGACCCTGGTAGGCTGCAGTCCATGGGGTCGCAGGGAGTCGGACACGACTGAGCAACTTCCCTTTCTCTTTCTGTACTCCCAGTTCCTCCAATCATCTTCACATGACTCTGAGCCAGTTCCTCCATAAACTCAGAAGCTGTGCTGTTGGGCGTTTTCTCCCTCTCTTGCCTGTGAGTCTAGAGGAGAACCCAGTTTGGAGGCTCCCCCCTCCTATTGGGGTGGGGTGGGGAACTCCTCCTCAGGGAATGGCTGCAGTTTCCTGGATTGCAGCTCCCCCTGCTGGGGGTTTGGGGAGAATGTCCTGTTGGAGAGAGAGAATGCTCCCTGGAACCTTAATCTCCTTTTATAGATAAAGAAACTGAAGCACAGTGGGCCTTGAGGGCATGGCCAAGGTGAACCGTTCTGGTGTCTTGACAAATAGCCCTGTCTTCTTTGAATGGGATCAGGCTAACCCCTTGCTATGGGATCCCACTGTCTCTCATGTAGAAACCCTCATAACAGGTACACATGTCATGAGTACATCATTTGCTGTGTATTTCCTGCAATCCAAGTGCCAGCTTGCTTGCACATATGTCTGATTGGATCCCCACAACATGGCTAGCCAGGTACTATTCTGATCCCCACTTCACAGGCCCAGAGTGGTTAAACAGGGTGTTCCAAGTCACCCAGCACACTGGTGGTAGATTTGGGAAGACTACTCCAAAGCCCCACCTCTTAACTTTGAGGGTCAGTATTTCTAAACAGCCCCATTAGGGCATCATCTCTCCTGAAGCTGCACCTTCAGGGCCCCCTCCTGAACAGAAGGGTGGTGAAGTGGGAGGCAGAGGGCCCAGGCCCATCTCTTTTTGGCCACAGGGACTTGGGCACGTCTCTTTACGTCTCCTGAAAAGTGGAGGGATCCCACCTATTGTGTGGTGCTGCCTTGGGGCTTACAGGAGAGGGGGCTGCCCATGGAGGCAGGATGTCTAGGCTATACTTGTCCAACCTTTTTTGTGTTCTAGAACCACCTATACGCATGAAGTATTGAGGGTCTCAGGCCAGACAGTCACAGGCAGGCCCTGAGAAACCCATTTGGCTTCCCGGAATTCTGTCTCTGCCTCTCTCCCTCTGCCTTTATCTATCTCCTTGGGTGCTTTCCTTCAAGACCCAACTCAAGCCCCTCCTCCTCCAGGGAGCCTTCCATTTCCATCTCTCAGAGCACTGACTCTCCAAGCTTGGAGTGGATTGTGTCCTGTCTCAGCAGTCACCCCACCGCCCTGCAACGTGCCCATGATGAGGCTGGGCACACACAGCACCCACTGTTCCCTGGCTGGCAGGTTGGTGAAGTGAGGAGATGACAGAGAGCAGGATCTCGGGCCTTGAAAGGAAAACTCACCTGGTAGACAGAGACCCCTGCAGGGGTACCTTCAAGCACCTCGGCCACAACAGGCAGGTTCTGAAAGGTGGGGTCATTGTCATTGAGGTCCAAGAGGTTCACGAACACTGTGGCACTGCTGGTGGCTTTCAGAGGGGGTGCGCCACCTAGGGGGCCACGGGGGTGGGGGAAGAGGGGTACAGGAGAAAAAGGGAGAGGGAGAAAGATGATTCAGCGGCCTTCTATCCCAGTGGCCCCTCCAGGAGGCAGCCTGGGCCTTGCACCCCCAGCCCCCCTCTGCCCCCTAAGGGTGCACAACTGGGAAGTGGGTGTCACTACGCTCTTGATGATCAGATTACAGCCCTCCTGGGTGGGCCCCAGGACGGCCAGAGGACATGCACTGGGGGAGGTCCCCAGGTCACCGAGGGTCCGGGGCCACAGTCGGGGAACTGTTCCACAGAGGGGAACGTACAGTCGGCGACAGAGATGACGATTTTGCGCATCAGCTCCGCCTCGTGGGGGTCGGGGTTCTCCCGGTCCAGCATGACGTGGGTGGTGCGGATCTTGCCTGTGCTGCTGTTGAGGCTGTAGAACTTGTTGGGTGGCTGGATGCTATATACCAGGGTGCCGTTCTCCCCCATGTCTGGATCCACGGCCACCACCTACCAGGGAGGAACCGGCCCTTCAACTGAGCCCAGCCCAGGCGGGTGTCTCTGTGGCCTGGGCTGCCTGCCCTGGTTGTCTGAGCTCCCATGTTGGGCACCCCACTGCCTGGACACAGGAGGCAGTCTGGCTCAGACTCAGGAAATGGGTCTCCCTCCTGGCTTCAGTGGTGGGTCTCTGGGGGTTGGGAGGCAGGAGGTTCAGAAGATGAGCCGCAGTGGGAATCCTGGGCTCCTTGGATTCTCTACCCATTCAGCTTTGGCCTTAGGGTAAGTTCCTTTCCACACTTAAGCCGCAGCTTCTGAACTGTAACAGCAATACCTAGTACCCACCAGCCTGCAAGAGCTCCCTGAACCTCACAGGCCTTCTCCACCCACTGTGTCAGCAGTCTTAGGAGGAGGACACCTAGAAGAAAGCCCTCTTTACAGATGAGGCACAGTGAGTCTCCCTAAGCCTCCCAGCCAGGAAGTGGCTCTAGATCCCTCTAGCAGGCAACACTGCCAGTGTCCCTCCTTTCCAGACAAGTGGGGTTAATATGTTCACAGGCTTCTGGGGGAGCAGGGAGTCCCTGTAGCCTATGACCATGGAATTCTTCAGGGTGGGGGCTAGGGAGGGCTGGGGAGTCCAAATCCTTGAGTGATCGTTTGAAAGGATCTGAAACTCTGGATTTTGAGATCTGAGTTCTTCATCAGCAAACCCTTTCTTCCTTCCTTTGGGGCTTTAGATTGTGAGGCAATTTGAAAACAATTCGGCCTCTGTGGCACCAAGAATGACAGGGCATGGGAAAGGAGCCATAGACAAGCCCCCTGGTTTGAAGAGTGGGTCCCAGTAAGTTGGGGCCAGTCGTGGGGTTGGGGCTGGGGTGAGGCTGGGGGAGGGAAAGGGTTGAGTTTCCCTGGAGGGGAGATGCCATATCCGAGAAGGAGGAGGTCTTAGGACAGGGGGCCCAGACACTATGGCCCCTTTAACCTTCCAGCCCCACTGTGGTATCCCATTTGTAAGCCCCACTCCATGAAGGGATCAACCTCAATGCTGACCTAATCCAGGGCAACAAACCCTGTAGCCCATTCTTTCCCAGGTCCCTATGCCCACCAATCTCTGCTCATAGGGAACTCCTCTACCATCTACCTCCCACGGAAAGCAGAGCTCAGAGAGGCCTGGGCCAGCCTCGGTATCACACAGCACCAGCCATGGAGCTGATCCAGCTGCTACCCTAGAGGCCTCCTAGGGTCCCAGGACAGCAGTGGCACCCACACATCAGCTCACCCCGACCCTGTGCTGTGGGGGCCACAGCAGCACCCAAGATGGACAAGATCAACAGGGTGTGACTGCAGTCCCAGGGGCCACATCAGGACGGTGTCATTCTTAACTCCAGGACACTCAGGGATGACAGCCTGGCCTTGTCAGCTCCTTCATCTTACTTGATGTGGGGCTTTTTGTGCTTTGGCAGCAGAATCTGTCCCTCCTCTGGCTTAATCCCCAGCCAGAGGCGTCTCAGTGGCCATTAGACCAGAACAGACAGATGGATTGCCCTGCCGAGGGCGCCCGCCTGCCCCGAGGCCCCAGGGAGGCAGGGAGAGAGGCCAGTGTTGGCTCTGACTCCAAACCATCCAGGTCCTTCAGAGAGTGGGACATGGTGCTACTCCCACTCCACCTGCTCAGCCCATCTCCTCCCTTCCCAGCCTTGCTGTATTCAGGGGGGAGGGGGGTGGCCTCAGCCTTCCAGGCCTGAGAAGCCCTCACTGTGTTGTGGGCATGAGGCTAAGTTTCCCCAGGCTCAATAATGGGGGCCCAATCACCGCTGTATTGACAACAAGAGCTCTGTCCCCCAGGCTCTCCTCTTATCATTTCAGCTAGGCAGTCAGCCCACTGATAGACAGAGGAGACCAGAAAGCCTTGTGTTTCTACAATGCTTCTCTCAAGGTAGAGGATGGAGATAGCTTTTATTCCCATTTTTCTGGATCGGTAAACTGAGGCAAGAGTTGTTGAACCATCCTTTCTAAGGCAGGCACACTAGCCTGTTGCTGAGAGTGCTAATACACCTTCTCCTATTCCTGAGTGCTAGAGAGGGGGAATCTTGGGCAGCTGCTTCCAAAGGCCCATGGTTGGGGGTGGGTTTTAACTTCTGGCCTTGTGGCACACTCCTGGGTGGTGGGATGGTGTAGGGGCACAGGAGAAGGCCGTGGGCTGGGGCCCCTCCTGCGAGTTCCCTGCTGGGTGATTGTGTAGAATCTCACCACTTTCCCCTCATTTATTTCCCATTTCACGCCCGTCATTTTTCTCCTGGCCTGACGGGGAATAATTCTCTCCCTCTCCCCTCTCCTTTATTTTGCTGGAGGGCTTTGAAAGGCTCTAAATCAATGCCCATCAGCCAGGTCCTTGAAGAAGGCTGCAGGAGCGGGGGGGAGAGTTGGGCCAAAATCTCACTTGCAAACAGAGAACAGCCGCTCTGCAGGCTCATGCCCACGCAGATGTAGGTGCACATGGGCACACAGACACGCGCCTGGCTCCCAGTGCATGGGAACATGGCACAGGCTCATCTGCAGACAGCTCTGAAGAGAAGAAACACTGGAATCACCCTGCACTTCAGGCTTTAGAAGTGTGGCCAGGGCCCTCGCTAGAGGGGCCCTTGGGAAAGTCCCAGGCCACATGCCCTCATCTCCTTCTGAGAAGGAAGACTCGACCCCATCTGTTGGAGTGGGGTGCTAGGTAGGATGGGGAAGAAAGTTGAACAAGTCCATCAAGAGCTCTCATTCACACATACTGAACCCTTATAATGTGCCAGGCACTGTGCTAGGCACTGGGGCTCAACTGTGAACGGGACAGGTTTGATTCCAGCAGGGGAGGCAGCTGATGGTGACAAGAGCTCTCATCTGCTGACCATTCACTGTGTGCCAGTGTACTTCGTGTATTTTGACTCATTAAATATGACCACAGTCTTATCAAGTGGAGACTTTATCCCCATTTTCTACTTAGGAAGGTTGGAACACAGAGAGGTTAAGTAACTTGCCCAAGGTCACACAGCTGGTAAGTGGTATGGCTGGGATTAGAGCCCAGACCTTTTGGTAGCAGAAAAGGCTTCTCACTTAATCACTGAGCTACACTGCCTCTTAATAAGCAAGCAACCTAAACACAGATTGTGGAGTCAGCTCTGAAAGAAATGTCGTGTGGAGAGGTGGCATTTTAAGCTGGGACGGGTGGAGGAGAATGAGCCAGCCGTGGGAAGAGTACGGGTGTGGGGGGGGGTGGAGTAGAGGGAAGGGGCACCCTGTGGGGCTGGAAGAGCTTGTGCAGAGGCTCCAAGGCGGGAAGGAATTCAGCAGGTTCAGGAAGCTGAAAGTCCTGTGTGTGCTGGGGGTGTGTGGTGGGTCTGCGAAGGCGGGTGGGAGATGAGTCAGAAGGTGGGCTAGTTTCTTTTCCATTGAAATATCACCTCCCCCTGATGTCACCTCTGGGTGAGCTGTTCCCTCCTTAAAGACCACTTTTCTCGAACCCCAGCCACAGATCCTACCTCACTCAGGGCCATTATGAGACCTTAGAAGTTCCCAGGGGGCCCCCTATAAGGTATTACAATATACCCACCTCTACACACATACATATATTTCACAGCTATAAAATCTGAAAGAATTTTTATGACTATTCCTTTTGAAATTATTTTGCTATAACAAGCTCAGTTAATGTATGGGCTTCTTGATTTCTGGCATCCTGACAAATCATTACATTAAAAAAAAATTCCCCAGAATTCTAGAAAATCAAGCCCACAACTTGTCCTTAAACGCAATAAAATTTTTATACACCCTAAATGTTGTAATTTCTAAAGTTGTCACAACATATGTGGCAGATGTTTAATATAACAAGCTTTGATTCTGTCTCTATTCTTTTTGAAATTCTGAGTCAGTAACTTTTTTTTTTTTTCCTTCGGGTCTCAAACACTCCCATGAGTCACTGAAAAGCTGAAATGCCCCACACCCGTGGCTGTGGACAGCCATGTCTACTCAGTACTGAGGGGTGGACTCACGTGTCCTTCTCCCCAGAGTTAAAATGGGGCAGATCTTGTGGGCCAGGTGGGTCCAGTAAGGACCCTGGCTTTTACACAGGGTGAGATGGGAACCAGGGGTGTTTTAGCCCAAGAGTGACACACGGCTCCCTGAAGGCAGAGAGGACCTGCTGCATCCTGAACTCCCGAGCCTGCCAAGCCTGGCATACAGTAGGTGCTCACTGAAGGCTTGTGGGGTTTCCTGGAGACTGAGACAACACTGGGCAGCAGGCCCCTGGCCCACTGTCCACACCTGCTCACTGCACAGAGGATGTGAGGAAAGGCTGGGATCTGATCTGGGACATGCCTAAAGCCAAGAAAGTGCACTCCCAGCCCAGCAGACCTACTCTTTGACCAGCAGGTAGACTCTCTAATAATCGCACCCCTGAATGCTGTCCCATGCAGCCACTTTCTCCCCTCAGTTTCCTCTGGGAGGAATTTCCCAGACATGTAAAGCACAGGTAAGAGTAGACCAGATAGGTGTTCAGAGGTGGGCATTCTGTCCCAGCGTTTTGGAGTCTCTGGCTGGGGTTATCCTGGTCTAGAGTCCTAGTGCCCATGAGGTGGCAGCAGAGAGTGCCCACTGGAACTGGGAGTGGTTGCCAAGTCTGGCTCTGAGCTGGAAGGATTCCCCAACCTGGGACTTTGAGAAAACAGATTCCAGATCCTGCACCCTACTGGAGTCCCTGGGAGGGGATCCCGCCCAGAGTTGAGAGTCATTCGTATCATTAACATGTAGAAAGGAAGACAGAACAGGCATGAAGGCCAACCCCTCTCTTTCTGTCCTTCCTTCCAGGTTGACATCTTCCTCCATTGAGACCTGGCAGACCTTGTCACTACTGCTTGTGGTTGATGAGGGTAGGGGTGGAGAGGTTAGGCATTACCAGTCTGAGGTTGCCTGCCCTCAGGGTGGGGCAGCCTTCCTGAAGAACTGGATAGGAAAGTTTACTATCCCTTCTCCCATCCCACCCGAGTTCTCCAGTTTTTCAGGACCTGGGCCACCTGTCAGAGCACCCCTGAGCCAGCAGAGGGATAGAGGTCAGGTAGTTTTAAAGTCAGTCAGATCCGGGTTTGAGAACGGACATGATTTTCACTATCTCATTAGCTCTGTGATCTTGGGCAAGTTCCTCAAACGCTAAGTCTCCATTCTCTCCATCGTACAGTGGAAGCAGGGAATCCATCTGCCATGATGTGGCATCCCCATGAGGATGAGAGAATCCGTGAGACGTGCCTAGCACAGCACCTGGCATGTCCTAGACATTCAATAAACGGGGACTTTCCTGGTGGCTCAGTTGATAAAGAATCTGCCTGCAATGCAGGAGATCCAAGTTTAATCCCTGGGTGGGGAAGATCCCCTGGAGAAGGAAATGGCAACCCATTCCAGTATTCATTCCTGGAGAATGTCATGGACAGATGAACTTGGTGGGCTACAGTCCGCATGGTTACAAAGGGTCCGACATGACTGAGCATCTGAGCGTGTGCTCTGTCAGGCTCACAGGGCTGGCTGGTGTCTATGGGGCTGCACACGGGGGCAGAAGTCTCTCTGGATGAGGCCAAATGGGGTGCAAGCATGAGGGGGAAAGAAAGCCCCATAAATATGAATCCCAGCACAGAGAGAGTGGGATGCTTGACCCCTGCTTTGCTCAGCTTCCCCAGGACGCTGCTCTCCTTTCTGGATGCCCTGAGGTTTTTTGGTTGCATCTCTCACTCCCTATCCTGAGCCATATCCCCACACGCAGCACGCCTAGGAGTCCGTGCAAACCTGCAACATCTTATGCCAGAAAGTCCCTGGGTGAGCTCTGAGCCCCCTGCTAGGGTAGTCCTGGGCTTGCTGATCCAAACTGATGGCTGCAGTGATAGAAGTCCCGAGGAAGAAGGAAGGAGATGGGGGCAGGGCTGAAGCTTGTGTGATTTGAAGGGGGGGGTACCTGTGCCTTGTCAAGGGAGGTTGTGGGGGGGCTCTCCAGAGGGGGTGCCAGAGTCCTGGGGTCCCAGGGTAAGGGTGACCCCGAGCTGAACCAGCCCTAACCCCTCGGGCACTGTCCTTGGGCTGCCAGTGCTCCTTTTGACAAAGTCTGGAGCCTGCTGTGTGAGGGTTTCCCCCCAACTCTGGCTATCTTTCACCATGCAAGAGAACGTCCAGAACTCTGCTCCAAGAGCTGACTCAGAAACAGCTCCACACTGGCTGGCCCATAGGGCTCATGTGAGAGAGGCAGACACTCCTTGAACAGCCACTTGGAAGCTTTGCTCCACCCCCCCACCACTTACCGTGGTCACATCAGAGTCTGGAGGGGTCATCTCCACCAGGTTGATGTAGTAGGGAGCGTCCTTCCAGGTGGGGTGGTTGTCATTGATGTCCAGGAGGGTGATGTTCACCTGTGAAGCCACAAGGGGCACTGTGGGATGCTCCTAGCTGAGCTGTGCAAGGACAGTGCCACGCTGGGGACTCACTCAGATGCCTATGGGCACCTTGGCACTAATTCTACCAGCTCCACCCACTTTGGGGGCCTCAGGAGAGATCCTGGGCTTTCAAGGACAGGAGGGGGCCTAGACCTTTCGGGGAGCTTAGGTGCTGTCCCATTGGGAGACAGAGGAATGAAAGAAATGACCCCTGAAATGGTCCCTGTGACCTGGGACACCTTCTGTCCACCCCGAGTCTTGGCTGAGGGTGACTGACAGGGTGTGGAAGGTTTGCGGTGGGACATCTGATAGGATCCACAGAGCTTACCCTTTTAGTCTCAGCTACAAGCCAAGCAATTTCTCCGCTCACCTGCCACCCAGGTAAATTATTTATAGAATCCTGAGTCCTATTAGCAGGGCCTCTCATGACTGAATAGAGCACTGGGGATTTTTCTGCTAAGTGGCTGGCCAGGAGACAGTCCCCCCAGCCCCTCTGGCTGGGTAAGAATGGGGGCAGCTGCTGGGGATCGGGTGAGGGCTGAGGAGAGGGGGCTCCAGACGGATCGCAAGAGAGCACACGAGGACAAGGAGGGGAGTGGCCGGAGTGGCCTGTCAGCTGCTCTTCCTGCTTCCTGCCCCACGGCGTGAACGTCTCACCCCACCCTCCTCCGCAGCGACTGCAGCAAAGAGCTCAGTTAGGACCCTCTAGTGGCTCTCCTCTAGCTTCTTCTCTCTGAGGCAGGAAGGCCTTGGGTGGGGCGCTGGGCTTCGGGTCCTACCTGCTCATGGGAGGGAAACCTGGGCATCATTTCTCAGCACGGCAAGGGAGGGGTGCGTGGTGACAGGCCCCCAGGAACCCTCAGGGCCCTGCCTCCAGCTCTGAGCTGCTCTTCCTGGCAGTCCTTCCTCCTGTTTCTTGGCCGGTGCCAGGGCAGGGAGGGAGTTATGGGGCTCATGCCTTCTGCCCAGCTGATCTTCGGGGGCAGGAGGGAGTATTTACTCTTCCCGAGCACCCCCATGTCCCAGGTGGGAATGTCTTTCTTCCCCTAGCTGCAAAGGCCCCAGGGCTGACCTCGGCTGACAACGAAATGGTACTTGCCACCCTCCCTCCACGCCCACAAGGCCTCACACTGCCTCGGGACACAAGTGTCCAGGGGCCTAAGTGATACAAGCTGAAGATGAGCCGGAGGTGGCAGCCTGGCTGGCAAGTGGGGAGCTAGGGGCAGGGGCTGGCTGAATGCTCACAGTGGCGATGCCAGTTTTCTGGTTGTGGCCCACGCCCCCGTCCACTGCCCGGACGATGAGGATGTACTCAGACTTGGTCTCACGGTCCAGCAGGGAGGTGGTGGTGATTTCACCTGCAATAAGAGAAGGTGTGTGAGAGATGGTTTGGGTGGGCCAGGGAGGGAATGGGGAAGGAGGGAGAGAGCACAGTGTGAGAGAGATGCTTGCAAGATCAAGTGAACTGTGTCAATCGGGGGTGGTGAGATGGTGCTCACAGGGCACAGCAGCCATGACTTGGGAACCTGAATCCCAGAGCTGGGCAATGTAACCCTAGGACAAGAAGGCATGTTCAGATGTGGGAAATCGAGACAGATGACGGGATTAGGGGCTGGAAACAGGGCAGGAGAGTCATTTGGCCTCAAGCTCAGTCACAAAGGACCTCTCACTTAGGCTGCGGACATTACCTCACTGGCTTGATCACCTGGAACTAGTTACCTAAATCCCATGTGCCTCAGTTTCTCCATCTGTTTAAAAAGGAACAATAATAGGGCACATCTCATAGGCTTGATATGGGATTAATTTAGTTCTAAATTAGAGAGGCACCTGGCACTGTTTATTCATTTGGTTATAGAAATACAACAACAGGACTGAAACACGCTGAGTGCTTCATGCCTGTTCCAACTCGTGGCTCATTCTAGACAGCTCAACCTATAATAGGTTGAGATTTAATATTAATAGCTATAAAATAGTTTCCTTAATTACCTTGTAGGTAACAATGCTTTGAATTTTTTAGTGTATAAATAAGTTATTCTATTAAATATAAACATTTAAAATAGACCATAATCTTTGTTGTGTCAGAAAGATCCCCTGGAGAAGGAAATGGCAACCCACTCCAGTATTCTTGCCTGGGAAATCCCATGGACAGAGGAGCCTGATGGGCTACAGTTCATGGGGTCATGAAAGAGTCGGACACGACTGAGTGATTAAACCACCACCACATTATCTTTGTCTGTTTTTGGCTTTTCTTTGTGTTTTGGTATAACTAAAATATGGAAGTCACTTGGTAGTGATGTTACAGTAAATGTTTGACAAATGGATCCCCAAAGGAAAAAAAGGGCATTTGCTGATTTCCCTGGTTATAAATATTCCCACCAGAGCCCATTTGAAGCTATCCACTTGGTAGCACTGAACTTGGAGTTGGGAAGAGATGTACATAACTGGTTCTCATGAGCAGGCATGAGGCAGCACAGGCCAGCTTCAGTACGGTCTGGCGATCGGGCCATGTACCATCTCACGAGGGCCACTGGAAAGAGCTAGTGCTCTGGGGACAGTGAAGTCCAGGTGTCACTTCTGATGACTGCTCTTTCCAGGAGCTTAGCCTGGGAAAGCTAATTAATTTCTTTGAGCCTCAGTTTTTTCATCTAAAAGAGATTAGTATGCTTCCAAATCAGAGCTTTGTAAGGATTAAATAACTATAGGTGAAGTTTCTAACATTCAGAAAATGCTCATTTCCTTCAAGGGACTGTGAGGGTCCTCCAAGGGCAAGGACTGTGTGCTATCCCCATTGGTTGAGCTGTGTGACCTGGGGCGGGTTACTTAACTTCTCTGTGCTTGGTTTATTCTACCACAATATAACGGAGCTGGGCCAGTGGTCCCTAGGACCCTTCCACTCTCATATTTCCCCTTCCTGCCATGATAAGGAAGCTGGGGTTGGGGGCCAGGGCACTGAAGGTGCTGAGGCCAGGAGCAAAAGCCTGGCAATCATTTGCCTGCCAAGCCACACTCCATGCTGGGGTTCTTGTCAATTAATTGGCAGGGCGAGGAAGAAATTAATCTCTAAAAAGTTTTAAACATGAACTTGTCGGCATGATAGATGGCTCCTCCTGTCTGAGAAATTAGATCCAATTAAGGCCACCTTTGTGGAGTGGGCCTGGCTAATTTGACCAAGGCGCTCAGAGGAAAACGCTTACGCCTTTGGAGCTGAAGGAGTCGTGTTAAGGCAGTAAGAAAATGTCCAAGTCATTATTAAAGACCCCAGGGTAGAGATGGAGTCCCTGACTGGGGAGGCAGGGTAGGTGCTGAAAGGTCAGTGTGCCCACCACTGTATCTGGGGGTGGCACACGGCTCTACACAGCTTTAGAGAACAGAGTGCTGAGAGTTTGGGCTCTGGAGTCAGAAGTTCAGGCTCTGCAAATCCTGAGTCAAGTAATTTAACCTCTCCTTTAACTCGATTTCCTTGTAAGGAAAACGGGGATGACGTGAAGCTAAAACCTGCCTCAGAGTGCTGGTGATGTTGGTCAGAGCACTTAGAACAGTGCTGAGTGCCTGGTTAATATTCCTTAATGATATTACTCTGAGCTCCCCAGACTTCCTGAGGGTGGAGGCTCCTGAGAGGACAGAGGCAGGCACTGGCTTTGTCAGAGGTGGAACGGGAGGTGCAGGGTGGCCCTGGATATGTTAAGTCTTTGTACACATCAGCACCAGCCATCTGCTCCCCGAGCTTCCAGTAAAGTGGGGTGAAAGAGACTGAAGGCAGACCTGGAGCACGGAGGCACAGATAACGGGAAGACTAGATGCCCTGCTGGGCCGCTGAGCGCCCATGGCAAGGATGGCCAGTGTCCATCAAAGATTCCTGCTCCCTTCCCAGGCCAGAATGATTGCTGGAGAGGAGCTGCCAGGCCAGGGACTATGATGTTCCCCAAGCCTTCCTTGCATTTATCAGGGCCATTGCCTGGTTCTGGCCAATGGGATGTGGGCACAAGTGATGTCTGTTACCTCCAGGTCTGACCCATAAACATCTCCTTGCACAATATCCCATATTCCCTTTTCCCTTCTGCAGTGACCCTGGAGCCACAACATGGAAGGAGTCTGGGTCCCCAAATCACCATATGGAAGACTGTCCACCAAACACAGCACTGGACCGCTGTGTTTATGTTAGATGTTCTATTGTGTTAAGCCACTGAGGTTTCAGGGTTGGCCTGCTCAGCATCTACAAGTTCCCTTACCTAATACACAAAGGAGAACTTGGAATTGGGGAGCCTTGCACATCCAGTGAGCTGACTTGGAACCCCATGAGGCTGAGGCCATGTCTTATTCCATCCTGTTTCCCCAGCACCCAGCACAGCACCTGGTGGAGAGCAGGCCCCCACTGACAGCTGAGTGAAGGTATGAATGAATGTTCAGAGGCCTCTCATTCCTTTCCAGCTTCTGACTTAGAAGTCTGGCGTGTCTTGCTGCTTTTTTTCTGCCCTGCTTCCCTCCCAGCTTCAAGGAGGACAGAAAGCTGGAGGGAGGCATATGGAGAAATGAAGAAAGAAAGGAGAGTTATACAGGCTGAGCAGGGAGCTGAGGATGGGGGCCCCAGGGTGGAAAGACCTAAGAAAATAATGCTAACAACCTAACTCAGTCAGTACTCACTGTGTGCCAGGGACAACTCCAAGTTCTCTGTGATGACTCACTGAATTCACACAACAGCCCTAGTATGTGTATCCTCTGTAGGTGGGGAAACTGAGGCACATTTCATGTTAGAAACAAGAGCCAGGATTTGAGAATGAGGTCAGCCACTGAGACACTTAGGCTTGAAGAAAGGTGTCCTTGAAGAGCAGTGGTTTAGCCAGATAATTGTGAAATGGAACATATTTAAACCTAACATGACTCTTCACCACCGAAAGACATCCTTTGCTGAATGAATTCACATCGTGACTTTTCTTTTTAAGATCAGTAATCTCACCCGGATATTTTAGGGACAAAGCCAAGTGCTCCAAGCTGGTGTGCTCAGGAGACTCTGGCCCAGAGGACGGTCCCCGGGCTGGGTATGGAGCACCAGCTGAAGGTGCAGAGGACCAGGGCTCACCTGAGCGGGCATTGATCCGGAACTGGGAAGAGCCCTCCAAGGAGTAGATGATGGACTCCTGGCCGTACTCCCGGGAGCGGTCCAGGTCTGTGGCATTCAGGAACAACACGGTGGCTCCTTCCGGGAGACAAAAGGAGTGGAGTCTGCTCATCCTGGGCTCACAGCCCCAGGCGCTGGGAGCAGGACAGGGCACAGGAAGTGGAGGAGACCTCAGAGGGCAGGAGGCCTGCCTCAGGGGCCATCCAGGGATGACAGTGGGCTCCACCACCTGCTCCTGTGGCCCAGATTCCTGGGCGGTGTGGAAACAAGGCTCCATGGGAGGGAGTGGAGCCTGGGAGGGGTCAGGCCCACCCCCTTCCTGCCCCAGCTCAGTCCTGGTCCAGCCCCAGAGCACACCACTGCCCCACCCCATCCCTCCCTGACTGGCCACTGAAGTAAATGAGCTCAGAATGGTCAGCTTCGACTTTGACTCAAAAACAAATGAAGCTCCATGTTAAATTACTCTACATTTATTGTATTCAATTTTGGTTTTATTTTATCTTGCTCATAAGGAGAACTTGTAAGGGTTTTTATTTTCTCTTTACTGCCCAGTTAAGGCCCTCACCTTCATCTCTGTGAAACCCTGGGTCAGGGGTTCAGCCTTTCCAGTGGCCAGTCCAGACTCTGAGGGCAGTCTTTCCTACAGCCATGCCCCCCAGGGCTTCCGGCTCCCTCCTTCCAGCTCTGGCAGGGTGGTGAGAAGAGTCGGTGTGTGGCCTTCTAGAGTCACCATGCCCTGGCTGGAATCTGGTGGGACCTCTGGCAAATGCCTTACTTTGTCTGAGCCTTAGCTTCTTCCTCTGTAAAATGGGTATAACTATAAAACCTGACTTATTGGGAGGCTGGTGAGGATCCCGCGGGATAAAACAGGTGAGACACAGGTCTGACCCATGTCAGACCACGGTATCTATCATGCCAGTGAATCAACAGTCCCTGGGGATGTGAGGGCCAGGCAGGGGGCTGTGGACAGTCAGGTCTTTCTGGGTCCCTCTGGGTAGCCGTGGGGCCTCTGATCTGACTCCTAGTCCTGTCCTGACAGAAGCACAGGCACCTTTGCCCTGATACACGCCTTTATCCCAGCACACTCAACATGGAAGAGGATTAAGCGCAGGATGAAGGCCTCTCCTTGTCAGAGTCTCTGGGGACAGAGGGGAGCGCAGGGGGCTGCGTCAGCAGTGGTGTTCTCCAGGGGGTGCCTGAGACTGGCATGTGGCGGGTGGGCTGGGCCCAGCTTGGGCCCTGTCCAGCAAATCATCAGACCCCAGGTGGGTACCTTTAGGAGGTCTCTTCAGAAGGCCCGGCAGTGCCAGGGAAAGTTACCTCTGGTCCCAGCTGCTCCCTGACTCCCCTGCTATCTCTGACTCTAGGTGTCCCTGACTCCTACGACTGTCCCTACTCCGGCTGTCAGGTTCCAGCTGTCCCCTGGCTCCTCCGGGTGACCCTGACCCCTCCAGCTGCTGCAGCAATTCCTGACCTGGGTCTCCCCCACGGAACATCCACTCGGGGTGTAAGGGTAAAGCTTCTGGCCTGCTCTGAGGACAGCTCAGGTTCCTGGGAACCTGAGTGTGGAGCCAGTGGCTCTGGGTCTGCAAGGTGGGCCCTGGCACTTGAGATGCGGCCCAGGGAGAAGCCTCCCGTTCTCTCCTCACCTAGGAACACATGCTATCCTCCAGGGCGACCCCTTCAGCCATCACGGCCCCTGGGACTGGCCTCACACCCCGTAAACCTGGAACTTTCTGAGCACTCTTGTTTACCTGAGGCTGCTGAATTAATCCTCGGTCATTATTCTCTTCCCTGAAGGAAAACTAGCTACAGGGGGTGCAGGGACCAAGCGTCCAGCAGACTGTCCACACACAGTCGGTGCTCTGGAAGAAACTACCGGCTAGTGGACAACCACACATCTCCAGAGGTTCCACTTGTGGGAAACACAGGGAGGGCAGGGGCCTCTGGCATTTGTGTGCAAGGTCAGGCCTGCACCCTGACCTGGCCTGCTGTGCTTGCTGGCCTCCCCGACCCGGGCCATACCTGCCATGATGTTCTCCACCACAGAGACGAAGTAGGCAGGCTTGCTGAAGGTGGGAGGGTTGTCATTCTCATCCTGGAAAGAAAACGCACAGGCTTCAGGAACCAGGGAGGCAGTCTGGACTGGTCACTGCAGGGAGGCTGGACACGGCCGGCACCAAGGAGCTCTGCTGACCTGTGTGTCATGGAGCCAGGTGGGGTGTCACGAGGCAATCAGGTGACCCTCCAGCTGGGCTACAGTTCACAGTGGCAGGACAGGCCTTGGAGAAACTTGTGGCAGTGGAGAACAGATGGTGATGGCCGGAGTGATGGAGAATGAGGCGCCAGTTGGGACTGCCCGTAACTCCCAGTTCACCTGGCTCTCCTGTCGGTCTCCCAGCTGAACTCCAAGTTCACTCCAGTTCTCTCAACCTCGGCTCATCAACCCCACACTTGGACCTTCCCATCCAGCTCCACCAAGATGCTAGTAGAAGGTTCTAGGAACCCTCCTATCAATGTTCACCCTCTTAGAAATGAAGGGAGAAAGGAATATCTCAACCCAGAAGATACTGAAGTGTGCAATGGCAGGTAGGGGGCTCCCAGAGCTGGAATTCCAGACCCTTCTGCACACACGCAAGAACAGCAGCACCTCCACCTGCTTGAGCAAACCTGGTCCAGAACCCCCAGCTCCGGTTCTGGAGCAATCCCTCCTCAGGCCCAGCTGTACCAGTGGCCAGAAGAAGGTTCTAGGTCAATGAGTTGAGCCAGCAGGGCGGGGCCTGGGCCCCAGCCTCTTCCTGCTCCCAACAGCTCCTCCAACCAGGAGGACTTTCCTACCCTTCAAGACTCTGGTCCTCAGTACTCACCAACCACTTCTGCAATCACTCAGTGAGAGTTCCTCCCTGTTTCTTCTTGGAGGAAGCCTCGCTGGCCCACATGGCTCGCAGTGCCTTCCCCCCTTCCCCAAGAGCCCAGCATGGAGCTCAGGGGGTAGACTGGGTGGCAGCCCCCTGGGCAGTCTGTAGGTTTCAGCTCTCAGTGATGCAGACTCCCAGGGGCCCACTTCTCCCCTGGACTGGGAGCCCTCTGGGGGAAAGGCTCCTGTAGTGAGTCACTCTGCTGGAGTCACTCACTTCCGGCTGAGCAAACAGGAAGAAGGAGGTGGCCTGGACACAGCATTAGAAATAAACTATTTGATAAGGTAAATTTAAAAAATAAATTAGAAAGGAAGGAGACGGCCTGATATCTGGCTGTCCACCCCTTGGGACGTCAGAGGCTCCCATCCTGCTGGGATTGCAGTGCCCAGAGTGTAGTGTTCTTGTTCCTTAATCTGGCCCCTGGCTCTGGATCACACACTGGTTCCCACTGACCTGCCCCTCTCCCCAGCTTCAGAGAAATGGCAGCGTGAGACCCCACCTGATGTCTGATGCCCAGCAGCATGCCTGGTCATCCCTGGTGTGGGCACGAGTGCCCCATATATGTATATATTTAAGCCTTCTGCTTGGCTGCACGGAACGGCTCGGAGAATGTCAGTGACAGAGCATGAGGCAGAAACTTATTAGCACTGATATTTCCCCGGATCCTGGTGCTACATTCGCTATTAGTTCTAATTCAGCGGCTCCCTCTACAAAAGCTTATTGTCCCCTAATGGGAAATCTACAAACCGAGTTTGACTTCTTTATTAAAAACCAACAAGCAGTGGATGAAAAGGAATCACCTGGCCCCCACGCCCGCCCCCTCCTTGCACAGCCCTGTCTTCTTGATCTGCCTTTCCCCACCCCCAACCTGAGCAGTAAATGCTGCCATCAACTCCTTCATCTCTACTGGGGCCTTTTTTTTTTTTTTTTTCTGTTGAGTGAAAATCCCTTTGGAAGAGGGAGGAGGCAGCTCAGCCAAGTGACAGCTACTTAAAAATCACCCACATGAAAAACCAACCCAGAGGCGGTGACCTTTTCAAGTGTGGTCCTTAGACACAAGTGACTGCACGGTCCCAAAGCTCTGCTCAAGAGATGATGCTCACTCACAGTCAAGGTGATACCTGTCTTTGTTACCAGATCTGCCCTGTTGCCATGGGCCAGGGCAGACCCAGAAGGGAAGTACAGGGTTCCTGCTGACCTGCATGACGGTTGCGGGGAAATCTGAAAACAGCACCCCTTCTGTTGGACTGTGGTGGCTCCAGGCCAGGGCACGTGCTGGCTTGCTGAGAGGACAGCAGCCAGGTGGACTCCTGCCCTCACTCGCCCCTGGACATGGAGACCCCCCACTCCCTGGTCTCAGGGAGGGAGGCGGAGGCTGCTGGTCACTTTCTATTCACAGTAGATAAAAGATCAGTTCTGTCTCTGGGCCATTCACTTCCTGATCCAGCTCCATGTGAGGGGTTGAGGCAAAGAGAGAGAGAGGCTCTTCCAAGGTCCTTTCTTAGCCGACCACAGGTTGGGAAGCAGGTTGGGATTTGGGGTAGTCCCTGGGATTCAGGATCCCACGAGGGCAGATTTCTGAAGGCCCCGCTACTCAAAGAGTGGTTCCCTGGCCAGAAGGATCAGTGTCTCATGGGAGCATGTAGAAATGCAGAGCCTCAGCCCTTCCCCAGATGTGCTAAGTGAGAATTTGCATTTTAAGAAGACACCTGGGGAATCCACATGAACTTTGAGGCACACTGGTCTCAGTCACATGAAGACTGGGATGTCCAAGCCTAGCAGTGTGGTGGGTAGAACGTGAGCCCAGGAGTCAGATTGGTCAGAGTTCAAATCTTGGCTAACGAGGACTGGAGGTAAATTCAAATACCACTCACCAGCCAGAAAGCGAGGAAGGCACTGGTGACCTTGCACCAGCTATGCTCCCTCCCTGAGCCTCAGCTGCCTCGTCTGCAGAATGGAATCGAGAGAGCCTGTGTAACGTGAAAGCAGCTGGCATAGCACAAAGCTCAAGAAGTTTGAATTTCCATTTGGTCAAAGCTATGTGCCCATACCTGGGTAGCATGGAACACCTCAACTTGTTTCCCTAAACCTCCCCTACCCTCACCCTCTTTCACATCTGTTTCCAAAAAGTCTAGAGCAGGTCCTTCTCTGCCCAGCTGAGTTCCCTGGAACTCACTATGCATTAGAGAGCCTGGTGTATCAATGCTGCCACTGGAACACGTCCATCTCACCAGCAGTAAGATGGCCCCAGTTACTGGAGTCAAGTACCACCCACATGATCACACTTAATCTTCACGACAGTATCATGAGGCAGTACCATGAGGATCCCCACTCTTTAGATGAGGAAACTGAGGTTCAGAGAGGAAAAGAATCCCAGGTCACATGCCTAGAGGGTGGCAGAGCTGAGTGTCAAAGCCTCACGCCTCCCAAGCCATGCTCCTGTCTCTATTCAGTGTCCCTTTGTGGGGGAGCAGGATTCATAGTCACCTTCATATCCCTCCCTGGTCTCTACTGCACAGCACCCACAGGAAGAATTCACTGCTTGCTTGAGCAGAGTAGGATTCTGACTGATAGTGTTGTTGGTGGTGGAGGGACTGGTCAAGTGTGGCCAAGATTAAGGGGGCATTGGGGGTTGTGATCAGGGTCAGGGCCATGCAAGTAAGAATACCAGGATGTGGTCAGGGTTGGCAGCAAGTGCACCCAACTTCTCCGCTCTTAGTCTTGGGTTTCAGGTGGGTGGTCTCAGGTTAAAGGCAGGCATGCTTTTGGGTTTTTGAGGATCTCCTTCTGGCCACCCCCTGGAGGCTGAAGTGTCAGATGAAGGTCCTAGACTCTGCCCTTCCATTTCCTGGACCTGGTTCTATAGAGCCTCTCTGTCCCCTGCTCCCCCTAAATGCTGTTCCCACATGCCCAGATGCAAGGTTCCTCCAGCCATCACCCTAGACTTTTCCATCACTGCCCACCCCATCGTATTCTGTGAGCAAGTGGGGTCCCCTGCCTAGGGCTAGCTCTGGAGGCTCAATCTTGGGTTGAGAGGATGAGGCTCGATAAGGTCAGGTGTGAGGCAGCACCAGGGGATGTTGGCAAAGCCAGCTGGGATAGGAAGGTCATCCGGCAACCTGCCTGCTGAGCCTTTGTCAACAGTCTGAGTAATGCTCTGAGCTGTGGGGACAGCCAAGGACATGGGGACACAGGGTTTTAGCAGGGCTCCAACAGTCTGGGGGCACACTCACTACCCCATTCCCCAGAATAGCAAGGCCAGTACACCCCTGGGTACTTACAAACACCTCAATGGTGACAGAGACAGTGCTGTTCAGAGGGGGGTTGCCGGCGTCCTTGGCCATGATGGTCAGATAAATCAGTCCATTGGGTATCTGTTCATAATCCAGGGGGCGGCTCACGCTGATCACTGAAATGACAGGACGGGCCCCAGGCCCTCTGTAAGCAGACTTTACATGCCCATCTGGCCGGGGCTCCCCTTTGGGCAGAGAGGGTGTGGCTGGCTCAGCCTGGTTTTTCCCTCCTGCCTGTGAACTCCCAGAGCCTCATGGACTTGACTGAGGTTTACTGACTACTTGATCTGTGCCAGGCCCACTGTTGAGTCCAGCAGGTGGCAACTATTTCAGGGATAATGTAAGCCCCACTTTACAGATGAGGAAAGTAGGCTCAGAGAGGTTCAGTGTCTTCCCCAGAGACACATTGCACATGCCTGGACTCTTACCTTTTTCTTTCATGCTAAGCCATTGATTTTCAGTTTTGGGAGGGAAGACGTACTGGCTTGGGAGTAGGGGCATGGATAGTCTGCAAAGGTATTACCCACAATATTAAACTGCCACTTTCTATTTGGGAAACAGAAACACAATTACCACTTTAGTAATATAAAACCCAAGGAGGGTTCTTCTTGCTGAGAAAGTGGTGAGGTGTGAGGGTGGGCAGAGGTGTGGGACTGCTCAGCTTTTAAAAGGGGGACACAGGTCTTACAGAGGTCCTTAGGCTGTAGCATCCTGAGCCAGGATGCAGCCTCTGCAGGTACGTGTCTCTGACACAACTGTGGGGTAGGAGGAGGAGTGAGTGCTACACTCAGAGTCACCCAGTGCCCATCTGCTCTGTCTTGGGGACACTGAGCTCATCTTCCCGCATTAGGGAAGCTTCGCAGAGGAGGGGACATCCAAATGATCTTAAAGCTAGCCAGAGGTAAAAGCGAAGCAGGGCAAAGGGATCGGGAGGAAGGGCTTTCCCAGAGGAAAGAGCAGACTCTGCAAAGACACAGAAGTGGCCCCTGTCAGGGGAGAGGGTGCAAGTGGCCCTCAGAGGTTGGACTCTGGTGGGGAGGCAGGTGCTGAAAGGCCACCAAGAACCAGATCACAAGGGCCTGCCTGGATAGTTTTGCTATGTGACTTTAGCAAATTGCCCTCTGTCTTTGGGCCTCAGAAGAAAAACAAGTGGTCTTTTGGGATCTTGGAGCTGGAGGTTATTGCTGCTATTTCGTTCCTGGGCTCCTGGGATCAGGACCCAAAGTGGGGCAAGTTCCAGAGTATGGAACTGTGCCTGGCCGGGCAGGGAAAGGCCATTGCCAGGAAGGGCTGGGCAGTAGCCACAGCAGGCCCAAATGATGGGGAAGCTTGGCTAGTAAGCCTTCCCACACCTCACACACACCTCAGATCTGCCCAGACACCTTTTCTTAATAGAGACCCCACTCATGGTGGTAACTTAAGAAGCCCAGCTGGCCACAAAACTAAGATCCAAAGATCTGGCTGATCAGAGACACAGATCTTGAGCCTATGAAAAGGTGACCCCATGCCACGTGCTGCTCCAGATGACAGGAGCTGTGAGGCAGCTCCCCGAGTGGTCCAGGGTGTCTGGGAGGCAGAATGGCCCCCTCCTGAGAGAGGTGTGAAGTGCAGCCCTGTTCCCACCTGTCGACCCTCCTCCCCAGGCCGGGGCCTCATTCCTGCACGTACCACCATAGCCTTCATAGACGCTAATGTCGAAGTAGCTGCCGAAGGCGGAGGCATTGACAATGCTGTAGGTGATCTGGTTGTTGGGAGGGGAGTCTTCATCCGTTGCCTGGAAGGAAGATGATGAACAGGGCCCATGAGCTTTCAGTGACACTGGGGCCAGAAGAGGGTGGGAGGAAGGAAGGGCTGGAGAGCAGACTCTGCAAAGACACAGAAGTGGCCCCTGTCAGGGGAGAGGGTGCAAGTGGCCCTCAGAGGTTGGACTCTGGTGGGGAGGCAGGTGCTGAAAGGCCACCAAGAACCAGATCACAAGGGCCTGCCTGGATAGTTTTGCTATGTGACTTTAGCAAATTGCCCTCTGTCTTTGGGCCTCAGAAGAAAAACAAGTGGTCTTTTGGGATCTTGGAGCTGGAGGTTATTGCTGCTATTTCGTTCCTGGGCTCCTGGGATCAGGACCCAAAGTGGGGCAAGTTCCAGAGTATGGAACTGTGCCTGGCCGGGCAGGGAAAGGCCATTGCCAGGAAGGGCTGGGCAGTAGCCACAGCAGGCCCAAATGATGGGGAAGCTTGGCTAGTAAGCCTTCCCACACCTCACACACACCTCAGATCTGCCCAGACACCTTTTCTTAATAGAGACCCCACTCATGGTGGTAACTTAAGAAGCCCAGCTGGCCACAAAACTAAGATCCAAAGATCTGGCTGATCAGAGACACAGATCTTGAGCCTATGAAAAGGTGACCCCATGCCACGTGCTGCTCCAGATGACAGGAGCTGTGAGGCAGCTCCCCGAGTGGTCCAGGGTGTCTGGGAGGCAGAAGGGCCCCCTCCTGAGAGAGGTGTGAAGTGCAGCCCTGTTCCCACCTGTCGACCCTCCTCCCCAGGCGGGGGCCTCATTCCTGCACGTACCACCATAGCCTTCATAGACGCTAATGTCGAAGTAGCTGCCGAAGGCGGAGGCATTGACAATGCTGTAGGTGATCTGGTTGTTGGGAGGGGAGTCTTCATCCGTTGCCTGGAAGGAAGATGATGAACAGGGCCCATGAGCTTTCAGTGACACTGGGGCCAGAAGAGGGTGGGAGGAAGGAAGGGCTGGGCCCCTCTCTGAGTGCCCTTCTCTGGGTGATCCAGACCCTCCTTGTCCCTGAGTTGGAGGTTACCCTCTGGCTCCCAGCAGACACACACGATGTAGGGGTGTGGAGGTATCCTGGAGAATCTAGAGGGCAGGCTGAAGGCTTAGAGGAAATAGAGGAAGTCTGGGCCTTATCCAGAGGATGAAAAAGGTCCCACCACACCTGGCATGACCATCACCTAGACCCCTAGCCCCAGCTGGACCTTCCTATGCATGGAGGCCTTCCCTGACCACTGGACTGGGTTAGGTCCTGTGCTGGACACCCCATTAGTCTCCTTCCTGATTATAGTTTCTTGTCTACTTTCTGCCTTCCTTGCTCAGACTGTCAGCTCCAAGTGAGAAGGAACTTCGTTTCTTGACTGCAACTGATACCTAGAGCTCAGCCCAGTTTTTGGACACAGTAGATGTCTAATAAGTTCAGGTTGCATGAATGCAAGGAGAGAAGAAGACACTTGGAATGGGGTCAGGTATCCTCCTTCTCCTTCATTGTCTCTGGTGTGGCTGCGTTAATTAGCTCTTTCCAAACATCTCTGACCCTAGGAGCCTCCAGGGGCCTCCCCCCAGTCTGCGTGTAAGAGAAGCTGTGCAGGGAGGTGGGCAGGGTCCACTGGGGAGCCACGGCCATACTGGCTGGGCACGTGGTCATGCCTTCTGTGTGTCCCCCATGCCCACCTCTTCCACCTTGCCTTATCCCTGCCTCCTTCAGAAATAATTTCTAATTGGAGGCTCTGGGTCCTGTCACTCTGGGTCGGCAGAGTGAGGAAGGGGCATGAGATGTTAAGAAGTTCCTGGTTATAGGTCACTGATGTATGGTGGAGGGACTCACTGCAGAAGGATGCTTGAAGCATGGAGTCCCAAATTCTGGCCCTGGCTCTCTACTAATTCACTGGGCCTGCCTCTCCCTTCCTGTTTCCCCTTCCACGAACTGGGTTGTGCCCACAGTCTCTGGTGCCTTCCAGCTGCAGCAGTACCTGACTCTAGGCAATCACTAAAGGGTTTGGACGGGGGACCTTACACAAGGAACTGCTTGGCACTCACCAAGGGAGATGGGGGATGGTGACTAGAGACCTAAAATCTAAGCCAAAGCAGACACTAGTCTTACTCAGTAACCAGGGATGCAAAGTGATGCTCAGAGGTGGGCCTGATACAGATCGAGAATGTGACCCCTGATCTGAGCAGAATCCTTTGTGGATGGGTGTCAGCACTTCTTGCAGTGGCTTTACAAAGGGGTAGTCAAGGAGATGGCAGAGAGAGAGAGAAGGACAGGGAAACAGACAGATCAAAGGTCACCCTGGCATCTTACCCGGAGTCGCACCAGCTGTGTGACAGAAGGCTCATTCTCTCTCAGGGCACCCACATAGGCATCCTTTTGGAAGGTGGGCACATTGTCATTGACATCCAACACGTTGATCCTGACCCGGCCTGTGGTCTCCTCACCACCCCCGTCCCGGGCAATGACTGTCAAGGTGAAGCGCTGGATGAGCTCGTAGTCCAGTCTGGCAATCAGCATGATGAGTCCTGTGTCCTTGTCCAGAGAGAACCTGTGTCAGGCCGGGAGATGGAAGGGAAAGGACACCCTGGTTTAAAGCAGTTTGTGGATAAGGGCCTGCACTTACCAGCCTGTCCTTGCCCAAGGTGATCAACAGAGAGACATTAACAAAGTCTGAAATTTGCCTTCTTTGTCATTTTCCCTAAATATGAAGAGCAGTTATGTTTAACAGGAGGTGGTGGGCAGGGATCAGGACCACATGAGAGATGAATGATGGCCAGGTACTGAAAGGGCAGGAGTATGTGGATTTAATCGATGAGGAAACTTGGGCAGAATGACGCTCCTCTTGCTGTGGACAAGAGTTTCTGCCTACTGAAGATATTTAGATGTTATGGAACTGCAATGGTCAGAAATTCTTAAAACTGATACACAGAAGTACAAAAGATTATTAGTGACTACTAAGAAAAATCATGTGCCAACAAACCGAACAATCTAGAAGAAATGGATAAACTCCAGAAACACACAGACTACCAAGACTAAAGAGAGTCTGAACACATTGGTTACTGGTAAGGAGATAAACCCAATAATCAAAAATCTCCCCCAAACAAAAGTCCAAGACCAGGTGGCTTCACTAGTGAACTCTATCAAAAATTTGAAGAACAATCAATTCCAATCCTTCGCAAACTCTCTCTCAAAAGAGAAGAGTAAAGAATACCTCCAAACTCATTTTATGAGTCCAGCATTACTCTGATACCAGAACCAGATAAGGACAACACAAGAAAATTACAGGCCAATATCCCTGATGAACAAAGATGCAAAAACCTCACAAAACATTAGCAGATCAAATTCAACAGAACGTTAAGAGGATCATACACCATGATCAAGTGGGATTTATTACAGGGATGCAAAGATGGTTCAACATCTGCAAATCAATGTGACACACTGACACTAACACAGTGAAAGATCGTATCATATGATCATCTCAATAAACACAGAATAAGGGCTTCCCTGGTGGTCTAGTGGTTAATAATCCACCTGCCAATGTAGGAGACATAGGTCCAATCCCTGCTCTGGGAATATCCTACATGCTGTGTAGCAACTAAGCCCGTGTGCCACAACTACCAAGCCAGTGCTTTAGAGCCCATGAGGACAACTACTGAGCCCACACTCTGTAACTAGTGAAGCCTGTGCTCCTAGAGCCCATGCTCTGCAATAAGAGAAGCCACTGCAACAAGAAGCCCATGCACCACAATGAAGAGTAGCTCCTGCTCACCACAACTAGAGAAAGCCCGTGTGCAGCAATGAAGACCCAGAACAGCTGAAAATAATAAATAAATCTTCTTAAAAGACACAGAATAAGCACGTGAAAAAATTTGGTACACATTTATGATACCAACTGTCAACAAACTGGATATAGAGGAAAAGTGACTCAAGATAATAAAAGCCATATGTGACAAGCTCACAGCTAACATTATACTCAATGCTGAAAATCAGGAAGCTTTTTCTCTAAGATCAGGGACAAGATAATGATGCCCACTCTTGTCACTTTCATTCAACATAAAGGGACGACAGAGGATGAGATGGCTGGATGGCATCACCAACTCAATGGACATGGGTTTAGGTAAACTCTGGGAGTTGGTGACGGACACGGAGGCCTGGCGTGCTGCGGTACATGGGGTCACAAAGATTTGGACATGACTGAGCGACTGAACTGAACTGAACTGAGTACTAGAAGTCCTAGCTAGAACAATTAAGCAATAAAAAGGAGGGCATTCAAGTCAGAAGAGAAGTAAAATTGTCACTACTTACAGATGACATGATATTATATGTAGAAAACCCGAATCACTCCACACACCAAAAAAACTGGTTAAAATAAAAGGAATTTGGTAAAGTTGCAGGATACAAAATCAATATACAAAAATCTGTTCTCTTTCTTCATATTAATAATGAAATATTAGGAAGAAAAATTAAGAAAAAGTCCCACTTTTTCTTAATTGCACAAAAACCCAGTAAAACTCTACCTAGGAATAAATTTAACCAAAGAGGTGAAAAACCTATACACTGAAAAATATGACATTGATGAGACAGACTGAAAAAGACAAATAAAAAGATAGTCCATGTTCGTGGATTGAAAGAATTAATATTGCTAAAATGTCCATACTACTTAAAGCAATCTGTAGATTCAATGCAATCTCTATCAAAATTCCAATGGTACTTTTCACAGAAATGGAACAACAATCCTAAAATTTGTGTGGAACCATAACAGAACCCAGAGCCAAACTAAAATTGAGAAAACAGAACAAAGTTAGAGCCATCACACTCCCTGATATCAAACTATATTACAAAGTTACAGGAACCAAAACAGTATGGTACTGGCATAAAAGCAGACACATAGATCAGAGGAACTCTGGTCTGAAGTGCTGGGTGGAGGTCTCTGTCTGAGGTACCCTATACATAGCAAGTGAAG